CAGTTTCTGTCCATTGAGATTTCTAAGACCAGGCTGGATAAAGCTGCAAAAGAGCCTGATAAGACCTCAGAGATGACCTTTCCTCTCACCAGGAGGTTTGTTTGGAAACTCCTGAAGTTCTTTTCTTCCTGAATTATTCTGTAATCTTAGATGGTTCCATGGTGTATATACCCATTCCAGTTTATTTCCAGTTGTGATGGATTGCATTGCATTATTAATGACTCTTCTTGTGTGTAGTAGAGCCACTTATTTAGGCCTTACTGTCTCTAATGTCTACCAGTTGAGCTTGTACCTGAAGAGAAACTTACAAATGTTATGCTGCCACTTAAACGACTTCATTTAGCTTTTGTCATGCCTTTATTTGTCATGGCCCTTCTTAAGGCACACGTTGGGACATCTCAGGAGCCCTTTCCTGTTGGTTGGAGGTCATCTTGTCTAGATTAAGGGTATCTGCCTGCCTGGCTGCTATAACAATTAGTGTTTTCTGTAGCTGAACAGTCTTGGAATTAGCCTTTCCAGCCTGTCCTCCACAGATATTTAAATGTGATCCTAGCACACTTTGATTTGGAATAGACCTCAGGAGATTTCTAATCCAACCTCCTGCTTGAAGCAAGGCCAGTCCTGATGCCCCTGAGGGCTTTTCTCAGAAGGTGTTGAAAACCCCCTAAGGACCAGTAACTGCATTAACTCTGGGCACTCTCCTTCCCTGACTTGACTGTGCTAATGGTGGAAGAGGTTTTCTGTATAGTCAGTTTAAAGGCTGCTTTTGTTTCAACTTATGTCCAGTGTTTCTTGTCCTCCTACCATGCCCTGTTGATCACTGCTGCACTGTCTTCTTGGCCTCTTTGAAGATCCTGTGAGCTGCTTTGTAGGTCTCCCCAAAGCCAGCTCTTCTCCAGGAGCAGGAAACCTAGTTCCGTCTCCCCTCCTAAGATGGTTCCTCAGCCTCCTGATTTTTCTGTAGCTCTCTGCTGAACTTCAGCTTACTATGTCTTTCCTGTACTGGCAGCCCAAAAAAGAGTGATGGATATAGCAGTACAGTTTTTTTGCTTGACCTAGAGCTTGTATTCCTCCTGTTAATGCAACTAAGCATGATGTTGACTTTGCTGCCAGGGCATGCATTTGAACCATCTTCAGCTTGCTGTCCACAAAGATCCTCAGGTTTTCTTTAGCAGAGCTTCTTCCCAGACAGTTGTTTCTTAAGCCTGTCTTGTTGCAAGACGTTTTACCTTTCAGTGTCAGGACTTTCCTTTTGCCCTTGTTGAATTCTGTTGAACTGAAAAGCTACTTAAAACCTCAAGCAAAAAACAAAGCAAAAAACCTCACCTAACCCCCACCTTGAAGAATTTCCTTTGACGAAACATTTAGGCATGTATTTGAAAGCTTTGAATATTGAAATCTTAGATTCTTCTTGAAGTTGAGCACAGCATTGTTCTGCCCATCCTATACAACCTTCAGGACTGAAAATACCTTAAAGTTTCAGGATCACTTTATGTATCCTTTGACTTAAGCAAACTATGTTCTGTCAATGTATAGATTGCCCAGGGGAGATAGGGTGAGGTCCTAGTGCTGCAGGATAGGAAGTAAATTGTGTAAACTGCATGCAGTTCTGCTCCCATTTTCTGTTCTGTGCTTCTTCCTTCTCCAGATCAGATGCCTGTAATAGTTACTGGAATAGATAGTTGCAGTGAATGAGCTGGGCTGGATTATTTTTGTTACTATGTGTTTATTGGAAATAAAGATTTGCTTTCGCTCCTGATTATTGTTAGTGTATAAAACTGTATCTGTACAGTATGGTGTGTTGAATAGTTCAATTACTCATACTCAACCTCATGTTGTTGTAAATTCTGCTATTGTGATATGGGTCTCTGTGTGATGCTGAAAAATAGGCTATGCTGATAGTGTGTCATTTTTGATGGAAGAAATGCTGAAGTACTAGTTTGTAAATAGACTATAATCTCATCTGGCCACAGTGTTTGTAACTACTTTGTTACTTCAATGGAACATTTTTACTGTTAAAATTTAAGTTGCTATTTTGAAACTTGGTGTAGCATTAATCTGTTAATTCTGCAAATGTTTCTAGGACAGTATTAATATAATAGGAATTTTAAACTGAAATTAAGTAAGAAAAATCTCAGAAACTCAGCATTAAATTGTATATGCTGATATTAATTTTAAAGAAGCTTTTAAGTCATCTTTTCTGCATGTTGTGTTTTGAGTCTATTTTGATGCAAACTTGCTAGCCATTCTTAAGTAGCTAACTACTACTTTGACTGTTAATCCCTAAGTCCAGATGCTTGTTCTAGGATTTCCTTCCAAAAAACATGGTTAAGAAGTGCACCCTGGGGAGTCATTAGAATAGGGGCTGGTTCGCCCCAGAAGTTCAGAGATCAGAATTGTGAGTTCCTCAAGAAAAATATCCTTCTGATAGTCTCCTTTCATAAGTAGAATCTGCTCAGCTAAAGACAGTCGTAGCAGTGAGTGGGGGGAGGCTGCCTAGGTTACGGCAGTATGAAGTCTTAATGCTGGGTGAACAAACCCTGGGAGGGAGCTGTTGAGTTGTGTTCTGTAATGTGTGTAATCATCTGCTCTCTCAGTTCCAGGAATGAAGCTGCTGCCCAGGCTAAGCAGTGTACAAACGCAGAAATGCACTGTTTATTTTTAAGTTCATTATTCCAGACTACGGTGGATAGGAAGGGTGAGGAAGAAAGTAGTAATGTGAAGGATGCCTGTGTGATGATTAAGTATTCAGCTTTTCAGTTGTCTTTTTGTTGTTCCTACCTCCTCCCAACTCCACACACCCAGTCTTGTAACTGATGATGATCTGACTGACCTGCCCTCTGAAACTTCCTCACTCTTCTGTAAGCAGGCGGTGGCAATCCTTTGTGAAACAAAGAGCAGGGCACTACCAAGTGAGGGAGCTGACCAACCAGACTAGATTTGTTCTGATGCTAAGATGAGAAGTGAGCAAGTTGCCTACTTCAAATTTTGAGCACATAATCAACTGAATCAATTCCATACTTGCCTTTCAACCCCTCATCACTTCTAAAAGTGAAGCCAGATTTCTGCACTACCTTATATTGCAACAAAATGATAATTTAAGGTGTCTTACATAATTTTAAAGAAGTAATGATGTATTAGTGTTTACAACTGAGAAAAGAGCTGCCTTGCTACTGTTTGAGTATCATAATTTTTCATAAAACGTGAGTAGTCTTGCACAGAACACTTACTGTAATAAGACTCAACTCCAAAATATTTGAGAGGTTATGACCAACAATTATAAAATATTAAGTCAAACTTTTTTTGAACTGGGATGTGTATATCTTGACTATTGTGTGAAAAACTAATGGTGATTTCTGACTGAATTCCTTCTGACAAAAAGTTGCTGGAATTGGTCTTTATGCTACTACCACATGATACCTTTCTCTAGATTATTTCTGCTATTATAAAGAGAACTGCAAAGGAAATGAGGAGCTTCCTATGTAATCAACTGGTCAACTGCTGTTTCCTCTATCGGGAATAGTGATGGCGATTACTCAGTCTCTGCGTTTGCATTGTTGTCCTGACCATAGAATAAGAGACTGAAGCAGTAGGAGAGAAAAAGAAAATACAGTGGCCGTGGCTGAAATACTGCAGTTACAGAAACAAAGTAGCTTTTTACTCCCATAGTAAAGCTTTTGAGTGCTTCTCTGTTTTAATGACTGGTGACACAATGAAGTGTTACCTATCTAATTTAGCTTTTAAAACATGTGTAGCCCACCCAGTCTCTGGACTGGCTTTGTTAATTGACTGCTTTTTCAAATCTCATTGTCTTTTAATAATTTTGTTTACTCTCCTCCTCTGGCTTGTTTTGTTGAAATGGTGCTACGATGCTCTCTGCAGGACTTAGGAGACTCTCAGGGCTGTGAAACTGTGTCAGTGTTTGTGTGTGGACAACATCTGAGACAACATCTGATGCAGCAGTGTTTTGTGGAAGATCTCTTGGCACTGCTGAGTAATTCCTGTACCATTTGTGTCATTTCTGCTTGAGCTGAACCCTTGCCTTTTTATGCTCAGGATATTTAAAAAAATTTGGAGGCTAGAGTTAGAAGCTGGAGCTCTAATGTACTCTGCACTCGGTGGCTCCTGATGTTTTGGAGAAGACACTATTTACAATATAAAATAACCTCACCTTGGTATTTGATACCTTTAGTTACTTTTAGTTGAAGCAATAGAAAACTGTGTTTGTGTGTAATGCTACTCGTAGGCATGGGTTGCTATGTCCTCTAGTACTAAAACAAAAACATGACTTTAGTTCTCCTCAGTTAAATTATTTAATAATTGAATTATAGTCTGATTTTATTTTAATAGCCTTTTTTAGGACTATTATACTGCATTTCAAATACAGTATTACTTTCATAATGTTTTGTTTGTTCATCCTTAGGCAAGTGAAATAGATGTTTAGACAGGGATGATGAAATTCCTGCATTCCCACAGATAACCAGTTTATTTCCACTCTGGAAGCCAGCCTCTATCATACAGATGATTGATTGTATTTCTGGATCTGCAGAAGCAGTCCTTACCTCTGTAAACTACTGCTATTGGTTTTATTTTGGGTGTCAATACCTGCCCAAGGGAAAAGTATGTGAATGAGATTTCATATTTATAGCTTGAGCTGGTAAAATGGCTTTCTAGCTGCAAGAGAGTGCTCCCTTCACCCCTTCTTCAATTGAACAGGTTTGTTTGGGTTTTTTTAATCCTTCCTTTATGCTGGCATTGGGTTTTATGTGACTCCATGGTGAATTCCTTAGGGAAGCTGGGAGACTAGGATTAGTTCTTGTTGGACTTTTCTCTCTGAAGCGACTCACTGGAGTTCACCTAAATGCTTGTGTTGAAACAGTTAAAATTGCACTCAGCTGGAGTGGGGGCAGAAAGGAATAGAGAAAGCCCTTTCCAATGTAACTGTTATTTACCATTGGATTAGCTTAATATCATATTTTCCCTTACTGGAAACATATTTTCCCAAACAGGACTTGTGGAAGGAGTAATTTTTCTCTTGAGATAGTCATACAATAATCAACAGTTAGGGACTTTGGGGGGAATTTGTTTCTACATCTATGACTAGTACATTTTGTGTTCTGTAGTAGTAGTAATAATAATAATTATAATGTGGGAGATACATAAAACAAGAAAGTATTCAGGTATAGAAATTTTCTTGTTAGATAATCCCTTTAGGGGAGAGCAGGATCTTTCAGCCAAAGAACTTCCAGTCTGACAAAACAAACACCACTGTAGACTGGGAGCAAGTGTGGAACCCCATTGGAGAAAAAGAAGTTGGTAGGTAATTGGAATGTAAAATGTTTCTTCAATGAAGAGGGCCGGCCAGCTCAAGTGCAAAACATTAAAGTGTATTGTTATGTTGATAGCTATATGGTATCTTCTCTTTCAAATCTAAAAGTGTAAACAGAGCAGTGAGGGAGTAAAATCAGAAGCAAAGTAATGTTTTGGTTGTGCAGATGCCTTAGGAAAAAGCCTTTTTATATGCTTGAGACTTCTTTGAGCTAGCTTTTGTGTTAGAATGGAGGACTTTGTAGTATGAGAACAGTCAAAAGAAAACATCACAAAACAGGGAGTGCAAAATCACTGTCACTATGAAGATACTGTATATGGTGTTATTGCAGAGAAAGCCCTTTTTTAGCTGTCAGCAGTTGTTTTTAAATGCAACTAACTGAGGCTGAATGTCATTCACCAAGCACAGTGCTTAATGAAATTGTTGCCAAAGATTATACAACAGGATTAAGTAGGATTTGCAGAGAGAAGGCTATCAACAGATGAATTTTACCAAACTATTAGAATTATTGTATAGATTTTTCACAAGCTATCTGTGGCCTTGGTAGTCCAACATTAAGATAACCAACATTAAGATAACTAATGGCATTAATAAACTACGTTGTAAGTTTTAAGAAATGACCCAATTCCTTTAAATACAAAAACAAATAATTCAAAATGAGACTTCCTGGAGGAGTTTTTGAGTGACTGACTGAATTAAAACAAACAAATAAAAACACAACTCTCTCTGGGGCATGCTCCTGTTTGGAAGTTGTAATGTCAACCTCATATTTCTTTTCAAGTGTTCAAGTTAATGCATTCTTAATGTTGAAAACTGGCAATTTCATGTGTTAATTTGGCTACATTTGGTTGTAGCTGTAGTGAGTGAATATCGTGTTTTCTGAATGTGTGGTAGAAGTAACCAGAAGGATGTCTTAGCTTGTGTATGTGTGTGTTTCCTCTAGACAAAGCTGCATATAAAAGCAGCATGGTTGTGTCTTTGGCTATGAGACAGATCATCTCACTAAATTTCATTCGTCAGTGCAGATTTTCAGTTCGGGGGTTTTTTCAGAACTATTTTTGTAGATGTTGATTATTCCATAGTCTGAAGTATGGCTGGTTTGCCCTTGAAAAGGAAAGGGGAAAGTAAATATTTCAGGTAGGGAAGAAAAACATTAGTAGTTGAAAAAGAGGTCCTTTGCCCCATTTCTATAGAATTTGTTACAATAAAATTGCATGTAGTGGTGCGTTTTGACCTTATATTATTACTTCAGACCTGCTTGATGAACCTAACTTATTTGGGAAATAACTTTTTGAAATCTAGTCAAAGATTGTATTTAAATCAGAATATTGAATTTTGAGGTTTGGGGTAAATTTTTTTGTTTTTTTCATTTTAGATTCTGGGCTGCAGTTTGTCTACTTCAGGAGAATCAGGTGCTTGTTTTCTGTTAGGCTTGTTAGCATTCCTACTTCAAACTCCTGACTAATTAGCCTGGTTGCCAAAGCTCCTGCATGCAGAGTATCAGATAGCACCAGTGTTTTTCTCCTTCAGCCAGTGTAGCTGGATGCCTTAACCCTGTATAGTGCTGATTCCAGTTCATCCACAGGACTGAGAACCAAGGGTAACACAATCAAGTTTATCATTACAGAGCAAAAGTTGACTCAGACTTTACTGGTTGTGTCAGCATAAATACATGGCATGACCCTTGTTGCATTATGTAAAAATGACTGTTTTTTGGTTTCCTTTGATACCCTCATCATACTAAAGCCTGATACTAAAATAGTAAAAATACAGTGCTAATTACAAGAAATTAATCCAGACAGTTGTTCATTTAAAGGATTGTTGGTGTCACCTTTTTTTTGTCATGTAGTGAGAGTTTATTTCTTTTATTTCCAATATAAAGGTTATACTGAAAGCGAATAAATATGAATGTTTTGTCAAGTGAATGTCAAGTGGTTGAAATGAGTGTGGTTTCTGAGCTGCTCTATGTATTTGCTGGTGACAGCTTATCAATGGGTACCAGTTTGTCAAATTTGGGTTTTAATTTGTCTGTTGGCTCTTTGATTGAATCTTCAGCCTGTGTCAGGAATGTGAAGTTGCCACTGTCAGTGGTCACAAAGAGACAAGATATTTGATTTAATTTGTACTAAGTAATGTATGTACTTCTAGAGACATTAGAGAATCCAAGGAGGGATGTTAAGAATAATTTTATTTGTGCCATCTATAATAAAACCGTGATCAGCTTTGGGAAGAGAGCCACAAGAAACCAGGCTTCATGAATTTGATTGCTAGTGGAAATGCTTTTTTCAGTAATGCAGCTTTCTGCTGTCGGTAGATTTGACATTTCTGTTAGAGATACTTATTTTTGAGTGAAAACTCAGTATCTTTTCAGCTTTTAGTAGTTTCACAGATGAATTTGCAAACTACTTGTATTGTCATTTTTTATGGATTTAAGACCGTTTCTAAGACATTTCTCTATCAGAGTTTTATTATAGAGGAAAAAACTGTAATCTTTTTAAGTTGTAGAGAAATTGTCATGTAACTCTGGAATCTAACAATTTGTATGCCAGTTATGGAAATAGCCTTAAGATTACAGTCTTCTAAATTTTATTTTGTGACTGTAGAAAATTAATTTATCTAAATGCCATGTGTTTGTGGACTTAGTCTTTAAAATATTTGAGAGATTTGCCATTTCTGTAACAAACTACAGTTTCCACTTAGCTCATCAGGACTGCCAGTCTGCTAGGCTGCTGCATTTCTGCTGCCTTCTTTGGTCTGGTGCTTATCTGACCTGTGTCAAGACTTCACAGCCAAGCCAGCATAGCCTGAGACAAAAAACAGTGAGTGCCTGCTGGCTTATGATGCTGGGGTCAGGTATGTGCTGATGTTGGTGCAGAAGTGGGAATGAAGTGCCCAGCTTGGCCAGAGGTTGTTGTTTCATAGTTCCTTAAGTTAATACAAGGTGCCAGCAGAAGGATGGTTTCTCCCAACTGCTAGCACTAACAATTTCCTCCACACTGAAATAAGGGAAGGGAAATATCTTCTGAGTTAACCTGATTCATGTTGCTGTACAGCTGCAGGATGCTGGTGCCTGGCATAAGAGAGGAGTTGGGAATGAGTGTGTCAATATGAGGAAGTGCTCTCTGCAGCACTGTAGTTTCTGTTGATGACTGTGTGTCTGCACTTTTAATGTTCAAGTGAGTAAGGGCAGTCTTTTTTGTGGCCTGATTGATGCCTGAAGATAGTTTAAATACAGGGATTGCAGCTCTGCAAGTAGCAATGACTGTAAGTTCAGTGCCTGAACTTTCATTCTCCCCCTTCAATTTTCCTGTTGCTTCTTGGTTTGAGGTGGATGTAATTGTTGCTTTTTGGTTTGAGGTGGATGTAATAACCTGTTTCTTTTCCTCTAAATGGGACTGTTCAAAAGGAACAGTCTTTAACACAGTAAATAATATGGAGAACTCTGATTAATTTCCATGGGTTTTTAAGATGCAGCTGAAAAATGTTACAGGGGACTGTGTGTACTTTTAATTCTTCTCCTCTAAGTTTTTTGGTGCTGCTCCTTAGCAATTGTCTCAGTTGCACAACAGTGACAGGTTGTAGATAAATAGTAGAAAGGTAAGCAATATTTTATGGAGGCCCATTGCTATTTGTTATTTTTCCACTTTTAAGTATGTCATGATTAATTCAAAGGAAGCTTTGTTTGGTTTTGACTCACATTTTACCTGGTTTTCAGGTATGATTGAACTCTGCCTGTACCTCTCTCCTGTTGTTGTAGACCTTCAGGGTATTTTGATACACCAGATTTATATCAATCACTTTTCTGCTTCTTTACTGTCCTATCACCGACTTCAATCAATTTTCCTAATCATAGTAATAACAACAACTTTCTTAAGCTTTTGTTTGGTATATTTTTTTTTCAGAGTATGTGTGGATAGTTGCTGCAAGATCGTCAGTATAAGGGTATTGGGAGAGTATATGATATCAGCATCAATATAGTTTATAAAGGGTGATATGTTTTAACTTGGGGATATGATTTAATCTTTTGTAGCTTTATTTTTATTTTGAATTTAATTAGTCTAATGAATGATTAAATAATTACTAAACTGTTGGTAGTGCTTATTGTTGAAAACATTTTTTTATTTGATTTCTCCAGTTAACTGCAGGTTTCATTTTGCACAAAGAACAGATCTGCGTGTTCTCTGGTTGATTGTGTAAATGCTGTCCATTGCAGCTTAACAAAGCACACCCTGCAGGGGGCAGGCAGCTGCTGTGTTGCAAGTGCAAGTGCAAACCACATACTGTAGGTTTGAAAATTAAGAATTGGAAGGTAATGTTTGTCATGCTTTTGAGGAGTGCCCTTGGCAAATTTTTTTTTCATTTTTAATAGTAGCTGCTTTTCGACTCATAAATCTTAGGTGAAGACATTTCATGTTGCTTGTGTAATAATATATTTTGTAAAAGATTATGAAAACTTTGGTGTATTCAGAATGAAGTGAGGTTGATGGCTGTGCACAGAATATGGTGGCTCTGGTAAAACACTACTCTGAAAAGAACTTGTTTTGTTTTCTTTTGAAGTCAGTAGGAAGCACCCTGCTTCATCTGCCTGGTGTAGATAGGTTTATTTTGAAACTTAATTTTTTGATCTGTGAGGTGTAAGTTAGTAGGAAAGTATTGAAGATTACAGTAATTTTTTTTCATCCCAAGAATTTTTGTGTTAATTAGTCTTGTTGTTGGGGACAGATAGGCAACATGAAACAGGGACAATGCATATAAAGTATACAGTAAAATATTTACATCTGTGATTATTCACATGGGCATTTAAGCTGCATTTATGAAAGTTAATCCTTTTTTTAGTGGATGTGTTAGTTATAGATTGAATTTTGGCCTTAGTTTAAGATTTTGTGTACCATTTGTCATATACTGTAGTGGATTTTGCCTTGACTTCATTGCATTACACTTATATTGTGGAAATGTTTATAGTACCTCTTGCCTTTTGGTCTTGGGGTTTTGTTTCATACTGTAGTGGAGCTAGTTCCTAAGATGCCATTTTCCTCAGGAAAATAAAGAGGAGGTTTCACTTAGTTATGATCTTGATGTTGTGCATTATTGGTAATTCTCTCTGATAGAAAGGTCAGCTGTTGGTCCTGCTTCTGTGAATATTGCAGTGTTAAAACTTAGGGAAGAATGAGTCATTCTGTAGTGGAAAGTCTTTGTTGATCCAGGTGTCAAAGGTTTGGAAGAGGAAGTAAAGCTGTTGAAAATTAGTTTTTTATAGGAGCTGGTTTTTCATCTGTATTGTTCTTCCTTTCTTCTGTTAGATTAAAGGTAGTCTTTTATAATGAAGCTGCACTTTCTGAAGTTAACTCAAAAACTAGCTTAACAAGAACACTTTCTTTGCTACATGGAAAATAGTTTATAACAGTTACCAGGATTTAAAAAAAACCCTAACTGTTTGGAATGCCTTTTTAATAGTATTCTGTCCTCAAGTTTCAAGTTGAGCAGTCATTATGGGAATTGAGTGCTAGAACGGGGAATGAGTGCTAGAAACTTCACCCTCATGTAATTTCACAGTGCTTATTCCCTTACTGATTTAAGTGGGTTTTAAAATACTGTAGGAAATATGTTTTTAAAAATATTCTTGTATTCATTAGAATTCCACAGGTTTGTTCTATGTGTGGCTTTTGGAGAGGCAAAGGAAGCAATTCCAATTTACTGTGTAGACTGACAACAGGTCAGATACAAAGACGTTACATGAATGTTTCAGAATATCCTGCAGTGATAATACTGTTGCTGTGCTGACCTGTAAATCAATATTGTGACCCGAATTCATTTGAAAGCAACTTGTATGTGCTTTAAAACTAATTTTTGCGCTGTGGATTTGTTTTATTGTTATTTATATTCTATTAGCAAAACTCCTGAGCAACGAGACATGTACCTGAATAGTAATTGCAACTTAGTTCTCTGTAGATTCTTGCCTGCAGAATTTGAATGGAGCACGAAGAAAGATGTGGCGTTCTTAGTGCTGGATTTTGGTATTTTCTAGATGCAGTCATGCAGAATGTGCTTGCAAGGCAAACAATGTTATCAATGCAGCTGAAAGAGATCAAAGCCTCTTGGAGGGGGGGTGCATATGAACATTTCTGAAGGGAAACTGGTATATTCTTTCCTGCTCCAGAGATGGAATAGTTTACAGAATGGGTAGTGTGTAATACTCTTAAATATTGAAGTATGTAGTGCTTCATGATGAGTACAGGTGGGATAGGAGTTTAAAGGCCTATGGTTATTCCTTGCTGGCTTGTGGGAATAGTAGTTTTGATTTCATTCATTGCTGTGCCCTACATATTGTGATAAATATTCTCTCACTATCTCTGATACTTTAAAGGAGGGGTTTCCTTTCTCATATGTGAGCATGGCTGTAGATTATCGCTCCTGCATATTATTGCTTTGTTTGCAGAAGCTTCTCAGATTCTTCAGGAAGTCCAGGTTTCCCTGCTGCAAATCCCATTGTTTCACATTGCAGTCTTTTTCCGAGCTTCATGTACAGTGCAGTCTTTTTATCTCTTTCTATTTGTTTTCATATTCCTTCTTAACTATTATATTCTTGTGTAAAAAGAATGAGATGATTGGCAGAAAGAGAGGTTTGGAGACAATTTTTTTTTGTGAGGATTTTCTTTGTTTTGGTTTGCCGAAGTATTAAACACCTTTGCCTTCTATAATTATTAATACTTTTCATATGTGTATGTGGCCACTCTTCATAATTGGAGAGGGGAGCTTGAGGTGCTCTTCCCTTCATATTTTACTTACTTGCATTTCTCTGTAGCATAGCTTCAAATGAGTGATTTTGATTATTACTGATTATTGCTTTAAAACAAAAATCCACCCTTAACAGTAAGTAACTGGGAACTAGATTTAAAGATTGAACTGTTTTGAGAAACAGTCACTCGTCTGAAGCCTCATGGAAAACATTGATGATAATTGATGTGATAACTTGTACCTCACGTCTTCAGGTTTAAGTGTGACTTGGATGTTTTGTGTGACTGACTTCATTAGGTATCAAAATTTTTTTGCTTCCTACTTTTTGTAGTGCTCTTTTTCAGTTGATGATGGTCTGAGGTCCTTGAGGAGAATGTCAGAGGGGAGTGGTAGCACTGAGAATGCAGATGTTTTCTAAGAATGTTTAATCAAAGCTTTTCACAAGATTTCGTAGAATTTTGAAGTAATTTCACTTTGTGAAAGTGGTGTTTCAGGTGTTTCGTTCTGATGGTTTTTTGTGGTTTTATTTTTGTTTTCTGAAGATATGCTTTTGGAACATTTAACCCGTTGGTTTTGAAGCAGTTACTGCCTATCATTGACTTTATGCAGAAAGTCATAACATAGGTATTGGAAATGCTTCTATAAACTCTTTCCTTTGTGCCTAATGAAGAGGTGGTACAGTTTACTTTTGTTTGTAAAACCAATAAACGATGGTTAACTGGCAATTATGATGTAAGTTGAAACCTTTTGAATAGGATATGCTTTTGGAAACTACCATAACTTCATTTGATAGTGATAAAAAGGAATAATTACGCTTTTTATTTGAGGAAAATGGCCTTTATTATTTGAAAGGCCTAAAAAGCTGACTTTTGCTATATGCTTTTCAAAATATATTTTGCAGTCTAGATGATCAGAATTAAAATTTTGTGAAAATTGACTGTACTTGTGTGGCTGAAGACTGGTCTGTATCCTTGCATTCCTACATGAGCCATGAACTTGCACAGCAGATATGTAAAATATCAAATGTAATCACATGATAGAGCTAAATTGCTTATGATGCATATAAACTCCTGAGAGGAATTTAAAGAGTATTCATACACTGAAGTAATTAGTCACTCTTGAAATCCAGAAAACATTTTAATTTATTTTTGGTTACTGATAAATGACAGTTCATATTTTTAGAGAAAGATGGTTTCAAGAGGTTTGTAAGTGTTTTGGGGAGATTCCTTCGCTTACAAGAGTATATCAAGGAATAATAGATACTTCTGTATCTACCTGATTTAGGACAAGCAATTTTTTTCTTTAGCCTCTTTTCTTGACACAAGTTTGTACTATAAGCTGTAGTGAGCGTGCCTAGCAGTCTTGACAAGTAAATTCAGTAGTGAATGAGTTTGAGGATGAAACACAAAACTCTGAAAAACAAACATTTTAATGCAGAGTTAGGGTGAAGAGGGTGCATACAAGTGTAGTGCCTGCCTTGCTATCTGAGTGTGAGTGGTGGCATCTGTCTCTGTGTAGTTGGGATTTATCTGCTAAGAATGTGGCTGGAAAGTTAAATGTGACTTGAACTGGACCTATACACACACAAATGCACATGTGATATCAAAAGAAGAATGAAGGCTAGAAGGGTTTTTTTTGGTTTTGTAGTCTCCTATTTCCTGATTGGTTTTGAAATGTAAAACCAATTGCTTCTATGTCATCAAATAGTTGTATTTAAGTCTGTAATAGTCTAGCAGTGCCCCAAAGTACAGTTTGGAACATAATGGAAATGAAACATTGGAAAGGAGTTTTATATGGAGAAGTGATAGAACATTGTGATGCTGTTGTGCAGTCTTTTTTTTTTTTTTTTTTTTTAACAGAAAACTTTGGGAAAAATAGAGGGGAGGGGACTAGGACATGGTTTGTGGGGACACAGCTTGAGAAGCTGCTGTAGAAGAGGTTGGAGGAAATACAGTCAGTGGTCACTGCATTCAGTTGTTTTTATATCCAGATTGTCAAATGGCAATATTAGAAAAACACATCACTTCTTTTGGAAAATGAAAACAAAACCTGCTTATACAGACATTGTATCTTGAGAATTCAGAATGTACTTTTGTCTCAACTGCTTTGTTAGTGCCTGAAAGTAGAAATAAGTTGTAACTTATATTATTATTATAATTGATGTTACTAATATTAACAGGAACAACAAACCATGATAGTTTAGAAAGCTTAATGGATTGTTCTTTACATCTTCTCTTAATGGACCTGTGTTCCATTCCCTTGTTCTTCAATCTCTGCTGTGTTGCTAAAAAATCTGTAGGTTAAAAGCATGGCTAGTTGGCAGTGGAATGTGTCCTCAGCAGAGTAATCTACTCTCCCTAAAAAAACCAACCAAACAAAAAAAAAATTTGGAATCTTGTCTCTGTATAAGAACTCACAGGTACATAATGCTTGGAGAAGAAGATTAGCAATGTGCTCATTTTTCTCTTTTAAAATTCTTGCTTCAGAAATAATTTGAGATGGTGGTGGGGAAAAGCTTTATATAAAGGGAAAGAAATGTTCTAAATGGAACATGATTGTGCTTCATGATACTTCTGCAGAAGGCTCATGTGTTGTCTTTTGCAATGATCAAACAAGTGGATTGAAATTTTAAGTTGATGAAAATACTGTGTCTGTTTTGTGAAGCATCATGGCTACAGAGTAGTAGCTGAAGAGGCAACAGTTTAAACCAAATCTGCACAAAAGTGTGCGTGGAACCTGTGAGAATGCTCTCCTTTCTAGAGATGATGACACGCTTGGGTTCTTTTTTTTTTTTTTTTTTTTTTTTGCAAAAGGTACAGAACTTTCCAACCCAATTGGAAATGCAGCATACTCACCCTAGGTACGCTTGTTAAAGCTAAAAGAGACAAGTAAGGTAGTCAAGTACCTACTCCTGCTGAGAGTTAAAAATTCTGTGCTGGAGGTAGAGGCCAAAAGCATGCCAGCTATCAAGGAAAGTGTAAAAGGAAGCTGGCATGACTGAACATCAGGCAAAGATAGTTACTAGAAAGCTGAAGTAGTATCCAAATGAGGAAAATTATAAAATCTGACAAGTAGAATATAAAAGCACGAGATAAAAAAAAAAATTAGGATTACTTTCAAATCAGCATTTGTTAAGAGAAAAAGGCAAGAATACAAGTTACTAGAACCAGAGAATGTTTATCCAACAACTGAAGTGAGAAATTAAGTAATTTTACTAAGTGGTCTGTAATGGCACTGTTAGGTGGACACCTTCAGGTCATTGGATGCAAATGCAGTGTGAAGCCAGTATTACAAAGGACGTTCACTAGTGATGTTATCTGTGTGAGAAGAAACTGCATTAACCTACATAATTCACGGACTCGTGGTGTCTGTTATAACAGACTGTGGGAAGGTCAGCAGGACTTAAAAAAGAAGTTGTGCTTCAGACCTTTTGGAATTCATTTAAGGAGTTAGCAAGCCATATGTAAGGAAGTGCCAATTCGCTATGGTAGGTAGGATTTCCAGAGTTGCTTGGTAGCCTTCTGCATGAGTGGTAAGTCTTTGTATGGATAATTAGTTAATAATTCGGTTTGTATCATTAAAGACAAGAGATGAAGTAGCCAGGATGCTTTTCAGAGGTGAAAGCAGCTGTTACAAAAATGTTCACAGCTGAAGAATTATACCCACAGTTGTATAATTGCGTTAAGTTCAGAGTGTATGCAGAGGTGGGAGTTAGCTGGAGTGAGGAATGTGGAAACTGTATTTTCTTGCAGGAAGGAACACTGGTGTGGAAGTACAATAGATAGTTTTGTGGGAACAGCAGTGCAGGCTCAGAAAGATTAATTCTTTAAATTGTTAGGATAACAACAGAGAATTAAACACAATTGGCCATTGTTGAGGTCCATGGTGCATTTCATTGGATTGCTGTATTGGTGTAGGCTTGGGAGTATCCTGGGAAGAACAATGCTTACTTCTGCATGTATCTAGGTGACGCAGATGTTTGTCTAAGTGTAGGTTATTTGACTTTTTAATTCCTTTTTAAATATTCTTCTTTTTTCCTTTCTTTTTGCAAAGGTCTTCTGAATGATAGAGTAGCTTCAGTAAATATCTTTGCTATTCAAAGAAGCTTTGTGATGTGTGTCCTGAAATCAGATGTAGTACTGGAAAGGGCTGTGCTTACCATAAATTCTATCACTATGCTCGACACCTAAGGATTTACCTATTTCAAAACCTTTGGAGAGTGAAGACAGGAGCAATGATTATTAAACTGTAGAGTAAACTTGGCAGTCAACTGGAGACTTGAATATCCTTGATTGCCCTTGAGTGCAGAGCCCCACGATTGCTGGGATTTATGCAAGGAGCAAAAGTTGGCCAAGTGGAGACCCCTGGGGAACTAAAATTTGAATTTAGAGCTGTTCAGAGCAGTAGTGGAGTAGCATAAGCAGACAGTATCCTCCTGAAGTTCGGTGTGCTGCAGTAGAGCACAGGCTCCAGTGGCTAATGAAAACACTTGCTGTGAATTTATAATAGTTTGAACAAATTGCCATTGCTATTGTAGTGTAACCACCTGGTTGACAGCAGTGGTCCCTTTCTTCACCTTGTGTTGGTGCTGGAGCATTTTTTCCCCTCACAGAGTGTTTAGGGAGCTGTACCTCAGACTAACCTTTCTTAAAATAAACAATACAAACAGGTCAAATGGTTTAACTTCCTTAAAAGGGTGTTTCTGGGACAAACAGATGCCAGCACGAGAGAGGAGTGCATGAAGGTGTAGAAAGAGGAGGGAAAAGATGATCCTGTGACTTCTGTGACAGCAAGCTGTTCTCTTCAAGACATGCTGCTGTTACTTGAGCATATATTTTTACAAACTTGAGCTGCAGGGGCCTGTTCTCAGTTATTCTTCAAGATATGTCTCTAGGTTTTAGAAAAGGGGTTTTAGTAATTCTTCTAACAATTTGAATACTTAAACATTCAACTTCAGTATTTTCAGTAAAAGATAATCCTTAATTTCTTTTTGCAGGATAGCTTTTTTTTTTAATAGTTCATAGTGTCCTGGTTTTTAATTCTACTGTTATGAAAATTTTGAAAACCAGTGTAATATTTGAATGTCTGATATTTTAATAATAAGTTTGTGACAAATAATAAAAGAACTGTGAACCTTAAAACTGTTAGCCAGCACTCAGATTTGTATTTTTATTTCTTTACAGGATCTCGAGTTTCATGGAGTAATGAGATTCTACTTTCAAGACAAAGCAGCTGGAAATTTTGCAACAAAATGTATCCGTGTCTCTAGTACTGCCACAACTCAAGATGTGATAGAAACTCTTGCAGAGAAGTTTCGGCCAGACATGCGAATGTTGTCATCCCCTAAATACTCACTTTATGAAGTGCATGTTAGTGGAGGTTTGTATTTATCCATTAAGTCCTTCCACACCACCACCATATCTACTCCCAGCCAAAATATCTTTAGGTTTGCCCCCAGTTTCTGAACCACATGAGACTTGGGCTTTTTATTCCTAAGTATGTTGCTACTAATTGTTTTGGAGAGTGGCTTTCAAAACTTAATTATGCATGTCAGGCCTGCAGTTTGATTATGATCTATTAAATGCTGTAATTGACATCTTGTTAGTTTGTTGACATTTGTAAGAGAGTTGCTATTTTTAAGATTAGTAGGTAAAGACTAAATTTCTAATGGGAGACTAGAATTGTTAAATTAGAGCAGTTAAGAGTATATCTTCCATTCTTTTAAATTGGCTATTGTTGATGGTAGCCTTATAACTTGTTCTTTTACTGCTAAACTGGGGTAAGTTCAGCTTAGTATTGTTTGAAGCCCCTGTATTTCTTAAACAGATCCTCTAATGTTACCTGTGAAGAACTTAGATACCTAAATAGCCTTTGGTACTGCTAAAATTTGTCTGATTCAGATTACAAGGTGATAGTGTGTGTGGTGGTGATAGAGACAGATATAGCAGAAACTATCTTTTGATTGTGCTTTTTATTTTTGTACTTCAGAATTTTACACAAGTGTTTGAATGACCTTAAATTTTGCATGTGAAAGACTGAAAATAATTTAATTTTTTCTGCTTTAGATTTCTTTAAAAATCTGTTACCACTGTACCTGTAGTCAAAATGAAATTGTTTTCTTTGCAGAGCAAGTTCCTGATTTTTAAAAGATAATTGAGGCATGCAAGGTCAATAGAGGGTTTCTTACTAAATAAAAATAACCACAAAGACATTGTTGTTTTCCTGGGCATATGTACTGTCTCCTTCTTTGCAAAGGGAAAATCAAATGGCAAGACTTAAGTTTTTTCACCACTCTGTCAGTTGTTTTTCCATATACTTAAAATAGATGTAATAGACTAAATGAAATTTTGTCTCAGATCTGCATAATGTTGTGGGGGTTATTGATTTGTTCTATTGTTTAAATTTTGTAATCTTGTTTATTTTTGTGCAGTCTTTTTAGAATAGTATTTCTCGGGCTGCAACCAGTCTGTGGTCTACTTTAACACAAATTTAAAATAAGAAAAATGAGTGTTTGGAAGTCGGAGGATGTTACAAAGTTCTAAACATTTCAACTCTAGATCTAACTTCTCCTCCAGAGTGATGATATTGTGTTCCGAGACTTAGTTCTGACAAAGGAGTTATGCAAGACTACCTTATGGGGACCTTTAGCCTTACGTAGATAGATGGAATACACTTGGGGTCATTGCTGGAAAGGGGACATGTAATTAATTCTACATTCCCAAGCTTTCCTTCTATCCCTGTACTTAAAAGGAAAACATTAACTGCTGTATTCTATTAAGCAAACCTCTTTTTTTTAAAAGCTTAACTTATTTCTTAATATCTTTGCTCTTGAGATACCAAGTAACTGTTTCTGCTTTTCAATTTTTTGAAGAAGAAAGAAGATTAGATGTGGATGAGAAGCCTCTTGTTGTACAGTTAAACTGGAACAAAGATGATCGTGAGGGAAGGTTTGTCCTCAAGAATGAAAACGATACACTTCCTCCCAAGGTGAGTCTTTATGGAGCATGCTGGTGGTAACAGCAGGTTTGAATTCTGTGGGGTTTGCTTATATAGGAAAACATAACTTTTTACTTTTTTACACTGCTGCTCATGACCTTCAATATCTGGAGCAAGTATTTTTCAGTACTTAAAGTGCATCTTTGCAACACAGCATTTTTGTTACCTTTCTATGGCTGGTGATGCTGTGATCCATGTAGCTGTCTAGTACTGGAGCATGTAATGCCTAGAGAGTTTAAAGCTTACTTTGTTCTATTATGATGACTTGAAAATTTCCTCAAATAGTGTATGGTGCCAAATACCAGGAGGTAATCCTGCCTCTTGCAAAGCTTTTAAAAGAGAATGCTAGGGGGAGTTAAAGAGCTAAATATCACCTCCTTAGGTAACATTTTGTTTCTTGAAAAAAATGATGGAAGACTCTTTCCTTTTGTGCAGGGTTTTTTATTTTGTTTTGGTTTTCCTTTTTGATTTTTTTTTCTCGTAAAAATGCAAAATGAATGAGCTGCCAACATCAGCTGTACAAAACTTTGCTTTAATAGTAGCAATTTAAACATTAAATTAGATTAGACTTTGGCTCCTGAAGTCATGTAATGATATATATTACATGTAGCTTGATTGCCTATAGCTATGGAAAACATGCTGTTCATGTGGGCTATCTTAAGGCAAGTTTATGATCTTGTGCTGAGCACTAAATTTCCTTTGCTTTTGGAATTAGAGCTTGTTAATTTTAGAAGTGCTTTGGATAGAGGTATGCGAGCTTGTACTGGGAGTTTGACTACAGAATACATCCATGTTACAGGGCAGAAGGGAAAGTTACTGATGTCTGCTATTCCTATTAATTGAATTAAGTGATTTGCAATTTTCCTTCTCTGTTCTTCACTTCCTGATAGAAGTGAGAAAATCTGCATCTTCTTTCTCTCATGCTCTGTAATCTTCTCTACAGAAGGCAAATGAGCTAGGATTACATGTATCTTGTGTTTGCAAGGAGCAGGAACTGAAGAAGAGAACACTGGAATGACAACTTGGAAAAATACACCATTGGGGGGAAGTCCTCTGTAATGTTTTTCCTTCTGTAGTTTATTCTTATCTGGTGTTCCAGCACAGTTGCCTTGAAAGCAGTTTAAGCGCAGCATTGTTACAGAGTATTTTTGCTCAGAAGCAAAAATTTGTTTTGTGGCCTTTATTTAATTTTTTCAGGTCAAGTAGATAGCCAGCATTACTCGAGTAAAATTCTGCAGTTTCTTCACTTTGTTAAGCAGAATCAGTTCATACCTTCTCTGGAACGTGGCACTATATTTGCCTTCTCTGTGTTTTCCTTGAGAGCATTACTCCCAGAGCTGTGTAATGGAGTGTTGTTGCCTGGAGTGTTGGTTTTGGGTCAGTGATACTGTGTTGTAAACAGATTCATCTGCAAAGTTAAAATCAATACTAACTTTTTTTTTTGATTGAAATTGATGGAAGCTATTTTAAACTCATTTATTTCAGAAAGCTCAAAGTAATGGACCTGAAAAACAAGAAAAAGAGGGAGTAATTCAGAATTTCAAGCGAACTCTCTCAAAAAAAGAAAAAAAAGAAAAAAAGAGGCGTGAAAAAGAGGCATTGCGACAAGCATCAGATAAAGATGATAGACTTCTTCATGGGGATGATATGTAAGTGGTTTAAACTTATTTTTTAAAACTTAAATGATAGCTGTTTTTAAGTGCATTTGCAAAAGCAAAGCCATGACTTGCAAGCACAACTCAGCTTTCCCATGCTTTGCAGTATTGGAAATCATAATAAAGTTAGGGGTATAATGTAAAGTTTCTTTAATGCCTTTCCCCCTGCCCCCATGTTTAAGAGGTAGAAGACCTCTTGTTTTCTTCAAAAACTAGCAACTAGCAGTCCTTAAATTGTTATTTTTATACCAGGTGAGCATGGGTATATGAACAGCATTAACCTTAGCAAAAGTGAAATTCATGTAGAAACCATTTTACAGTAATTTAAATGAGCTCCTGTGTCTATGAATATTACTGCTTTTTTAGCCTACATGAAGTAATAAGGATATATTTTAAGGATGTATTTTCAGCTCTTAATGACATTCTTTTTATTTAAACTAACTTGGCAGTGAGAATTTCCGCCTTGCAGCCGAGGTTTACAAAGATATGCCTGAGACCAGCTTCACTCGCACAATATCTAATCCTGAGGTGGTTATGAAACGGCGACGACAGCAAAAACTAGAGAAGAGAATGCAGGAATTTCGCAGTTCTGATGGCAGACCAGACTCAGGTACTTGAAGTTCTTCTGGTTAAGTTATAAACAGTAAACGTTTTACTGGGAGAACATTCTTAAGGTCATCAACTCTTGTAAATTTGACTTAAGTTTTGCTTTTTCCAATATTTTTTTGCACGTGGCTGGTTTATTTGTGGTGTAACTGAATGAAGGATTTGTAAAGGTAGGATTCCACAAGAGGATGTTCTGTGATGAGTATGAGTCAAAGCTTTCAGCAGTGGGCTAATGCCGGCCTGGGGTTTATGCACAGAAGTACAAACGGGACAGGAGTGCTGTGGAACGCGTCTCGAGCTGTTTTATTTTCTTTCAAGCATCAGTCTCATTGCACAGTTGGGACAATGGGAAGATGCCAGCAGCTCGCGAACTGGGCAGCAGCCACAGGATGTGATGTTACAACGCACTTTGAAAGTTTTTTGACCCATCACAAAAAGCAAAAGCATATTGACAGTACTTCTATCCAACCACTATAAGTACTTGTACCTTTGGTTAAAACAATGCATGCTTATTTCAAATGCATTATCTATTTGTAAGCCTTAAAATACAATGCACAAAGCTCCATTAAGGTTAGACCTTCCTAGTATCTTGCTAGATATACTTTTCCGCAGCTTAGAGAGTTATTCCAGCCAAGCGTTAATACACAGACCATTGTTCTATGTCCTTGCTTTCTACATCACATATAACTTTTCTGCTGACAAATGCTGACAAGTCATATGACTACTGCTTAGCTCTAATTGCAGTTCTGCTGTCTCTAAGGCCTGCATTTTTGCAGCTTTCCCAAAACCCTCTGATTTTAAGGATTCCCACAATAGGCAGACTGATGAGAGAGAGAGAGTATGCTTGCTAACAGTCCTAAACTGGGAAAGAAGGAAGGATGGACTTAGACTGTCAAACTGAGGAGACTGGCTGAAGTAACTGACATTCATTGTCATTCAAAAACAAGCTGAATGACCTGAAAGAGAAAATTCAATCAGTAGCATAAATAAAAGATGTAAAGGACTGATTGTTCTGCATAAAGGATTCTGGTGGATCTTGTGAATAATAGCGATTAAATATTTCTCATTCATGGGGTGGGGATATAACAACAGTGATTATATAAACACCATTAGAAAAGAAGTGAAGCAATGTTAGAACTGATAAAATCTCAAATGATGTATTCTGTTCATGGAAGAGTAGTGAAGAAGGAGATAGAGGTGTAGAAAACATTGTCTTGAGGGAAATCTTAAATGGGCTTGTTAAAGAAAGGGGAGGTCAGCACAGTCTTCTGGCAAGCTGTTCTTCAACCAGTCATTGCCACTATTTCATTTTAACTTCATGTAATAATAAGCATGGGAAACACTGGGAAAATGACTTCATTAGATAAATTACGGAAATATCCCTGGAGATTTTTACCAATGGCAGAGAAAAATCTATTTTGGGGATGTTATGTAATTTTTCTTGTATTAGTAGAGTAATGAAAAGATTTCTGAAGGGATTTGTTCTTGTATTCTTTTAGAAATATAATAAATGACTTCATGTCTGTCTTTTTATTCTTTGATTGCATTGTTGATTCCATTTGGTTTCCAAGGTGGAACGCTGAGAATTTATGCAGACAGTTTAAAACCAAATATACCATACAAGACAATCCTGCTGTCCACTACGGATACTGCGGACTTTGCAGTTATTGAAGCACTGGAAAAATATGGCCTGGAAAAAGAAAATCCCAAGGATTATTGTATTGCTCGTGTAAGTTACTAAAACACAATCTTCTCACATTCCATATTTGGTTGGGTTTTTTTTCTTGAAGTAGCTTCCAAGCTAAATAGAATGACTTGGTTAGTTCCATGACTTACTTCCCTCTCCTCCTCCCAAAATCTAACAGCCTCAGGAATTGTGAGGTGATATGTCAGGTTATTTTGTTTTTAAAACATTAATCTTCCAATTGTACTAAATTAGTGCTTGTTATATATAAAAACATTAATACTGAAAATGGCGTATTTCTTCATTGGGCACTGTGGTTTTATACCACTAAATGTGCTGATGATTCACAGATGTATAAACTAATAGTTCATCCTGTGGATACCTACGTTTGTGCACAAAACTATTTGCAGTGTCTTCTTTGAAGATTTAGGCAGTTGACATTTACTTAACTATTAAGATTAAGTTACAGGACAAGGCCATTATAAGGCTGTATAAGTACCTGTAATAAAGATTACTCCTGAAGTTTCAGTTGAAAGATAAACATTTTAAGACGTTTTCATAACATTTTTGACAACTTTTATTGTAAATGGCATTTTCCTGTTGGTTGTTTGCTTTCATACATTGGTTTGCAGTGTATCAGGCTGTACCTTTATGCCTGGCTCTAAAGTGCTTTTCTGTGTAAGCAAGTAGACACCAGTTTGTTCCAATGTGTGTGTTTGGTTTGTTTCAGTTTGCTTGGTTTGAGTTTCCCTGAGTAATGTGGAGTTCAGTGCACATCTCTGAAGATGTCAAATTAATTAGACAGTCTTCCAAGCTACCTGTGCATATTCACTCAGGGCGTTAGACTTCAGGCATGTAGCAAACCAGTTAACTCTTGAAAGTAGAATCTTAATTAGACTTTTGTTTTTAGCATGCACGTATTTTTTACTTGAGGGTAAGACATAAATAACTTTTTGTAATGTCAGGCAAAAATATGCATTTCATGGTGAGTAGGTTTATTGTTTTTTTTTAAGAAGTAGTTGTTCTAGACATAAGACATTAAGTATTCTAGGGGGTATTTTAGGGGGGTTTTGTGGGGTTTTTTTGTGTTTTTTTTTGTGGTGCTGTTGTTTTGTTAGTTGCATTTTTGTTGTTGTTTTAGTAGGGGCATGTGTGGAGCCTGTGTTCCCAGCTTGTAAGGAAAATTCTAGATTAATTAATTACAATAAGCAGATGTACCCAAATGTACAGTATATATGACTGTTTTTACTTAAAAAGCATTAAAATGACAGAAGAGCTTGTCGAAGATCTGTTACAGCATGGGGTTTTCCTGTGTGAGTCTTACTAAGGAGTGGTCTGATAACTTATTCTCTATATAATACTTATCACAGGGGGCTTAATACTCAAACACTTATCTACTTTTTTCCAACAACTGCTTTGAAAGTTAAGTCTGAAGTTGCTACAGTCTTCATTTGAATGTCTTAGCTTGTATTTTCTGCATGTTTCACTGCATTTTAAATTAATAAATGTAGAATGGAATGACACTATGATAATTTTAATATGTTTATGAATACACTCATGATGAAGCAGAGTATATTTTTTCCTAATTCTCAGTTTTGTGTTTCTTTCCATTTATAGACTTGATTCCAAAATTTGTCATATTGGGCTGGTTTGACCCATATCTGTTTCTTGTGCTGTTGCAGAAATCAGGGAAATGTCTGTGCTTGATCTCAAAAGTCTGTGTAAAAGAAAATTCACAAAAGCATATTTAAGTGCATCTGTTTTGAAAAACTCAAGCGAATCTCTACCCATAAGCCAAAACCCAGTCATTATACAGACTTATCCCCATGCTTTGCTATTATTCTAAAATGTAGGAATTTCAGTTTTGTGTGTGGCAGCGAACGTTGCTTCTCTGAAGTTCGCCTAAACCAGAGGTGCTTTCTAAAATGGCATCATAATGATTAGGAGCCTTCTGGCCTGCAGGAGCTCAGATACATGGTGTTCTGTATCTTTCTACAGATTTGGTCACAGACCTTTTAAAGTGAGGGATGTCTGAGTTGTCAGCTTACACTTCCTGAGAGAGGAGGGGAATGGCAACTGACTGGATGGATGAGGGGAGCAGTGCTTTTTGTGACCCCTCTTCTCTAGCTTGTCTCATTCACCATTGCTGCACTTAAACCCAGCACCGAGTACAGATGCTTATCCAAGTTCCATGGTAGAAGTAGTGTCAGGTTCAAGTAGCGTCTGTGCATTTGTAATACAGCTGTTTCTCTGACTTCACTGCATTTGATTTTTCTTTAGTTTCCTCCCCAGTCCAGTCTTGGTCAGGTCCTGGTATTGTGTGTATTTCGTGCATTGTAACTAGCTACCTGCTGTCTAAAGGGCTTTGGAATTTTAAGATTGTTGCTTGTTGAACATAGCTTGAAACACAGTGTTGCCTTAATTATCCCATATGTGGAATTGATTTTAAAATCTGAAATGTGAAATAGAGTAGTTTGGCAAGATAAGATTTGGTGTAGATGTGTTTCTGATTCCCTCTGGTTTATGCATTTTAATGCTTTCCTTCTTTTATAATATCTTGTCTATTTGAAAATCTAATTAAAGATAATTTAATTAGTCCTATGTTTAGCCAAGTTTTGCATAGAAAATGGTTTAGGGATATTACATACTTTTGATCTTAAATATAGTTGTTTCCTTCTTGGAAGGAGATGAAAGGATGTTTGAGGTGGATCTGTGAGAACTTGGTTAACACAGAAATGGGTGTGGAAAGGAGGGAACAAATGAGAATGGAAAGTCTCTAGAGGGCTGCAGCATAGTAGGGTGCTGTAGCCAATGGCTGCATCATTTCAGAAGGTCTTACCTTGGTCATGATTCTGTTCAGAGATGGGAATAATTTGGAGTAGCTTGTTTAAAATAGAACTGTCTATGAATTTAAATAACATTGTTAGGCTTACAAATGTGGGAATACAATATATTTTATTTTATTTTTTGATTCAGCTTCAGAAAGATCTGTCTTTAATAACTGTAATACTGCCTGTCATTGTTACTTGTTCTTGATCGCTGTGGGGAGCAGTAATGCATGAAATTACAGGCTGTGTCTCCTCTCAGATCAGATTTCATGAATCAAGGTTTCCCCCTTCCTCTGCCTTTTAAGGATATAGCTGTAACAGGTAGGAACAGTCTGTAGTTCTGTTCCAAAAGTATACTTGGTTTTGTTCCTTCCGTAGAGCTAGGCAGCATGAAGCACTTGTTTGAAATGCTCCAGTTGTGTCGTTAGTCCCTTTTGGGTAAGACAAGGATGCAGCAGGCGTGACAGTCTTTGCCAGCTTGTTGTGTCTTTTCTGAAGATAGATATATATATATATATGTTATGTTAGCAGAATATTAGCAAAATGAAAGGCTGATACCAGTGTGTGAAATAATAATAGAAAATTCATTTTGTTTTTTAACTATCATCACAGATTTTTTTCTCTAGCTGATGAGAAATTGGAATTTTTTTTTTACTGAAAGAAGATCTTGCCTAGTTTAAGTGTAACTTGCTTTTCTTTGCTTTTTAGAATTATTTGATGTTATGGGAAGTGTGATTTAACTGTAGCAAGAGGTGAGAGAGGAGTGTTAGAAAACCTTGGAAAACAAAATATATTCCAAGTTACTGAATTCTTTGGCCTTATCTCTTTCTATAAACAACACATGCAAAAAAACCGTTATCAGAGAACATACCCCGAATGTTCTTCTAATTGTCCACTAGCAGCTCTGAAAACTGACAATTCTTTTTAAGGTCATGCTGCCTCCTGGTGCTCAGCACTCTGATGATAAAGGTGCTAAAGAAACTATTCTTGATGATGACGAGTGTCCATTGCAGATATTCAGGGAGTGGCCTAGTGATAAAGGTATGTCCAAAAACCTGTAAGATATTTCTGTGCCTTGCGTTGTAAGCCATGTTGTGGAATCCCTGTAAAGGAAGAAATTCTAACATACATTTTAGTGTATTTTGGTTTTGGGCCCTTAAAATACTAGGGAGTATTAGAGTTATTTACTGTTTTATTATGCTAATGAAACTACTGTTTGTAGTATTACATCATTAGATAGTAGAAAGGTTTTACATTTTAGCCTAAAGTTTCTAAATTATTCACTATGCTGAAGTGTGTTTTTAATCTGTGTGTAGTTATTTTGAAGTTAAAACTACTCTAAAGAAGTGACAAGGAATTTAGTAAGATAAAAGTAATCCAATGGGACACTTGCATATTAATAGATGTTGGTTGTGTGCTCATTCACTGGTAGTGTGACTCAAAGGATGTATAATACTGTGTTTTAGGAATACTGGTCTTTCAGTTGAAAAGGAGGCCTCCTGATTATGTCCCAAAGAAAACCAGGAAGATAACTGATGGAAAGCCATTAAAGGGGAAGGAAAGAGTTGACGGGTCTGGCTATGGCTCTTGCCTTCCTCCTGAGAAACTACCATACCTGGTAGAATTAAGTCCAGGTAAGAGTTCTGGTTATCTAATAAGCTAAATTGCATTATTATATAGTCATTTGGATTTTTCAAAAATATGACATTCTTTGTAAGCACGAGGAACTCTCTGTGCCACAGAGAGGAAGTCTGTGCCACGTGAGTTGTTCTTCTGATGTCAGATTCCAGATTGGAGGTGACAGTTCTAAAGGTAGAGATGCATATTGCTGTAATATCAAAATATTAGCAACAAATGTTTGGAATGAAAAAAGGGGAGAAATTACTTACTAAGTTTAAATCTGATTTGCTTTACATTCACAAGTACACTGTAGCATACGTGGTGTTCGACAGTGCCATACATGGAAAATCGCGTTTTTTAACAGGACAAGAACATGAATTTTTAAATCAAACTTAGATGTTAAACATTTTTCAGCCTATACGGAACTTTCAAATCACTATCAAGGCTGAATTTTATTTTGGCATAATTAGAACTCGCTGGGCTTTGTGGTGATGTACAAGTAATTTTATCTAGGAACAGCCAGGGGGATTGATTGTGTATAGCACAACTACTGATAAAACATACACAAATTATGCTCTTAATTTCTGTCATCCTTATGTTCATAGATTTGGATATGGACTTTTATTTTTGGTAATTGAATTATATACAGCTGTTTTTCCTATTAAGTGTAACTTGAGTACACTCAGGTATTCAAGTAAATGTTACAGTTTGAAGTCTGGTTGTGTACCTTTTGGTAGGCAAGGTTGGAAATTGGTGCTGAAACCTTTGCTGGATCAGAACTAAAATAAAAAGGTTAAATTTATGGTCAGGTAGTGTGGGGGATTTTTTGGTTTGTTTTAAATCCAGATGAAATTATCAGTACACAGATTATATGAAATGTATTGTCATGCTCTACAGGTTGAACTTTGGTTTGCATATTAATATTTTGGGTTCTTCTATTAGTACTGTTGATTCCTTTTCTGGTTCCCTTACTCTTGGTGGGATTTTGTGCTTTATCATTAAAATGTTGTTCTCAGGCAGTGGCACGAGATGCCCATTAATGGAGAGAGCAAACCCAGTCCCAAGTGCCGCAGGTGTCAGTGCTATGTGCGGAGTTTCACACAGTGCCTGTGGGACTGACCTGTTGTTCGCGTTTTTCTTCTAACAGCTTGTTGTCACTTCTCTAAACAATAAGGATTGTTTCATTCAGTAGCTTTGTAGTACTGATGTCTTAATATTCCACACAGTTTCTAAAGTTGCAAGAGTTTAATGAACTTCATCCTTATAAATTGAATAGGTGTTGTCTGGCTTCGGTTTCACCCTTTCCTGTCTTTTCTTTTCTTGCCCTCCTCCGCATGTTCTGCATGGTATCTGTCCTGCTGGTGCTGCCTTCACCTGGGTCCTCTGCATGTGTTTCTAACCCCAGGGAGAAGGAATCACTTTGCCTACTACAACTATCACGCTTACGAAGGTAACGCTATATTTGATACTGTTCTCTCATTAGTCACTAAAAACTTCTCTGACTGTAAATCTTGTGTTTCTTTATGACAAATGAAGGGCTATCTTATTTATCTTAAGGGTTTTTTTCCAAGGGACTGCTGCTGTGAAGTAGTTACCTGTTTTGTCAGCTGCCATTTAATGATTTGATCTGTGAACAAACATCAAATAGATCATGAATGTGCTGTTATCCAAAGAGCTCAACCTTCCAGCTATGATTAACAGCTAAATTTCAGAGGGTGGTGTACAAGCAGTGTTGTAGTAGAACTAAAAGTACTTTGATCCATGTACTTGCAGAATTCTTAGTTAAAACAGTTGTTGGGTACATGGCATGGAACTTAATTGTCCTTTTCAATTTTTGACTGTGTTGATGCAGTGGATGAAATCTATGATGATTTTTATGTGAAATAGTGTTTGGGCCCCTGGGAAAATGACCTCACTTCCTACTCTGTGGTGTTCCATAGCATTCTTTGCTATTTCTGCTGCCTGGTTTGTCTAACATTAATGATCTAAGTTAAAGATTTAACATTTTAGACAGTAGAGACTTGTTCAGGTTTTTTATGTAGTGTTTGAAATTGATAACCTAATGTACAAATCGTTAGAAATCTTTCATTCTCCTTAGAGTTTGGAGTAGTGTGCAGATGCGGTCTGGTTTGACCAAACAGGCACAAAGCCATTTTCTCATTGTGAAATGTCTACCAAAATATGTCTTTATTTTCCTTTTTTTTTTTTCTGTTTCCTCACTTTGTTTTCTAGACTGCTATAGAAAAAGTACATGTGGTAGATAGTGTTGCTCACCCTTTCCTTTATGGTTGCAGAGTGCAATACTGGTGTTCGGTTATGTGAATTGAATTCAGACTTCCATTTTACATTAATTTGCATTTAACATTGTTATTCCAGAGGGCAGAAAGGTTTCATAGAGTGTGCTGTGCTATGAAATCCTGGATGGGCTCTGCAGGAACACTTGACCATTAGCTAGGAAGAATTGAAATTTGGTTGCATGACACTGGAAAAAAACAAAGAGTTTTTAAAATCTTTATCTCAGTGTGTGAAAAAGAGGTCTTTATACTCTAAAGTCAGACTGTGTCTGTTTCTATAATAAATACAAGTATCTTAAGGATACTTGTATTTATTATAGAAATAACTGCAGTGGAAATGTCCTCCTGTCAAAACAGAGGCTGTTTATATTTTTGCAGAAGAACCTAGCAGACTCACTTTCATGCCCTGTGCAATTACAGAAATTCAGTAAGTTTACTAGTGAAGTCTGTCCAGTTCTTCTACTTCTCCACAGCTGCTGATGTTGCTGTCTGTATGACTGTTTCATTGACTGAAGATTCGATTCTGTATGGTAGAGGATGCACTTCAGTAGCTTGTGCTGTACATGTGGCAGCCAGCAATTGTCTCTGTATCCAAGTCATGTGAACAAACCAGTAAATTGAGATGAATCTGATAGTAATAGAAATAGACTGGATAGACTGAAGTGACATTCAGCAGCACTTTGAGTAGCTGATTCTGTCTGTATTATCTGTGAATATGGCTTTTCATGAGTTCAGGGATGGTAATAACTTCAGTTGTACATTCGTAATATTTAAAGGCTGAGAAAAATGGCAAACCCCCATTATTTCAGATGTGAGCCTCAGAACTTACAAGCCTGAAATTAAAATTACAAAGCATAAAAAATAAAAGGGCAAACCATGAGGCTGTTTTCCTTGCTTCATCACAAAAAAGAGCAAACTTGAGCTGTAGAGCAGATAGCAGTGGGAGATGTGGAGGACATGGAAGTGTAAAAACTTGGAAAGTAGAATTGCATAAGATTGGAGAAGTGGGAAGCTTTGGCCGGGGTGTTTTCCTGGCCAACTTTATTTCTGAAAACAGAACTGCAGTATGGCATGTGCAGCACTTTTGCACATGAGTTTGAAGGAGCTTTGTTGCTGTTACAATATAAAAAAAAGTTTACTATTGGCTCCTTCTTCTGGAAGTGCACGTCTTGTCTGAAATTTAATAGTAGAATTATCTCCTGAATTCAACGTGGTATTTCAGATCCATCCCAACCATGTCCTAAGCTTATTAGTGTTGAAACCCTTAGTAGTTAGGCACTTGTACAGGAAATATACTTTTCAAGTGTAGACTTAACTAATTTTAACTCAATAGGTAACGTCCATTGTGTGGCCATTTTTGTTCAACTTTGTTTGGGCTTACTTGCTTTCAGTGAACTGATCTTCATAATTTAATTTGCTCTGGTGCTAAGTCAGTACTATTTCCCAGCATTGTTTCAAGCATTGGACTAGTGAAATCAATAGAAGTTATAATTTTCAAAGTGGTGTAGGATTCACCTTTTACTGGTGAAGTAAGACATGTAAAATATATATATATATATATATATCCGTGAAGGATGGCCTGTCTTTTTTTTCTGTTGTTTAAAATATGCATGTTTATGCTACAAACCACTGACTTGATGTCCTTATAGTGACTATTCACTTCTATTCGCTACAGTGCTTTTTATAACATTACTATTTGAAGGGTGAATGGTGACTCTCAAGTGAATTAACCAAGTAACGAAATCTATTTGTATCACATGCTTTGTTAAGATCAGCCTTTGTGGACTATCATGGCCTGGGCAGTAGGGCCTTTGCCATAGGTATAGTAGAATATATATCCTGCTGCAGTGAGTTATAAGGGATACAGTCCAAATACCATTTAGGTGAGGTTCTAGCTGTTGAAAGCCAGGAAATGCACTTTTCACTGTAGTATAACACAACTGTCCTTCCCTCCTGCATCCCTCCCCTAGAACAAAAAGGCTTTTCATTATTCTTAGGATTTGTAGTGATTATCTTCAAGATCAAGATACCTTTTACTGTAGAAATTGCTTTTTATTACTGATGGAGTATAACAAGCCAAATAACTTTTAATAACTCCTTAAAACTTTCTCCTTTTTGTAGAAGAAAAAATTGCATCTGTATCTAGTGCCATGGTTTTAATACAAGGTGTGTTCCTTGCTACAGTGGACATTGCAGAGAAACAAAAATCTTAATTTGCATCAGCAGAAACACTGTGATACAAATATACATTTCTTGAGTAATTGTTGCTTGAAAGCACACGTACCTGGGTGCCAGTTTTACCAAACTAGGATGTGGGTAGGAGGGTAAAATACTTTACTTTTGGATTAATAGGTAAATAAATGAAGGAGGTACTCTTAGGTTTTGATGTGTAAGTTGTGGGGAGACACAATAAAATTAATGGAATTTGGTGTAAGCAGCCAGATGCATTCAGTAATCTATTACATGTCTGCATTTAGTGATACTGAAGATGCAGCCATACAATTTCTGATTTAGCATTGCTAAGTATTTAAAATTGCACACAATTCAAATTGCTGAAGACATTGTACTAGCATTATCTTTTCTGGGTTACCATGACATTAAATGTAGGCCTCTCTAAACTCAAATACAGATATTTCATAAAAGGTTTATCCCTCTGCATGAAAGATGTTTAGAGGGATGAGTGGCCTTGTGATTAGTGCTTCTTTTGTGATGGATGACATACTAATGTTATGATAGTGTTTCTTTTTCAATAACTGCATATTACTGTAGTATCAGCACTTAACTTTAGTGTTTACAGTACCAGTCTGTGGACTAACTGTGCCTGGTGTCTTTATATCCCAATAATATCCCAACAGCTGCAGGGGAAGCTTATTAATAACTACCATTTTATGGTTAAGTGGTTTGAATTCTGATTTTAATAAACAGATTCTGGGAGTTTACAACTAGATTTACGGAGCTTCTGTTTTTACTGACTTTCACATAAAAATTTGAAGATAACTAGTGCCTACTGCAGACTGTATCAATGTACGTTCCATGGCTTTAATAACATTTTCTAATGCTTTTTTGGAGATAAAGAATGTCTTACCTGTGGAAATGAACAATGATTTCAAGTTTTCTTGCAGCCTCTCTTCTTTACAACTTTGCTTTGGAGAAGAGATTGGAGAGAAGTTAGAAATGACAGTATTACTTTAGTTTCCGCTCATATTTAAAGTTGTAGGATTTTCTGGGAAGTGGGGAGGATTTATATGTATGCCAAAAGCCATTTGTGTTAGCCTGTGAAGGCACCAGCTAAATTGTGTACACTTTGTATGTCCAGTGGATCTTGTGAAATTTTGTTCTATGTACATATTTCTGAAGGGAGTAGGAAGTTGGACTTTTTTTTTTTACCTCATTTTCTGTGAGGTGAAAATACAGGTCAGTGGAACTATAAAGATAAGGCCAGAAGTGCTAAAGTCCTGTATATTAACACTAAAGCTCTCCTGGGTAGGAATTTTGTAGGATTGTCTTTTAATGTTCTAATTTAGCATCTGATGAATTAGAAACAGTTTGGTATGTGGATCACTTGACAGCAGATATTGCTGAGAACGTCTATTTTAGTAAGATCAGTAGATACTACTAATGTGGGGATCTGCAGATATTTTATTTTCTTTATCTTCTAAACCCAGGCTGGTATACCCATATAAAATCTTAGAGATTTACAAAAACCGTTGTATTGCTTAAACTATTAAGGAAATAGAAAAGCTTCTTCACATTATGTTCAGAGTAGTAGTTCTTGATTACTTTACTCCTTGCACTTGTAATCAACAGCTGCTCCAAGTAGGTTTTCTCTACTTTCAAGGCTCTTACATTATGAGGAACAACCAAGTTCCCAACAATCTGGAAACAATGTCACTCGTTTTTTGTTTTGTTTTTGTGAACATTGCTATTCTGAACTAAGTTGCAGTAAATGTGGAAATACTGTGTGAATGTTTGAACTTTATTAACTTGAAAATTAATATTTGTGGCTTGCTTTGCAGATGGTTCTGACTCCAGAGATAAGCCAAAGCTTTATCGTCTTCAATTAAGTGTCACTGAAGTTGGAACCGAAAAATTTGATGACAATTCCATTCAGGTATGGAAAAAAGCAGACTCACAGTACTGATTTGATCTCTGGTGTGTTATGTGTCATTGTGCAATCATAATAAAATATGCTGTAAATACCCTTCAAAGCTTGAAGGATAAAATATTGCTGAAATTTTGTATTAAGGGTCTTAACTAGCTGTTTTAATTTACTTCCACTCTTGATTTAAGAGAAGGGTTTTATTATTTTAAGTCAAGTTTTTATTATTTAAGGGGTTTATTTTTTAAAATAGGGTTTTCTTTTTTTGTAACTGGATCAAATAGTATGTATCAGTGTTATTGTAACTGCTTAATGCCTTTCAAATCCTAGGCTTAATCCCATAGAGGTAGGATTTTAAGAGTATAAAACAAACATATTTGTATGAAGTTAATGCCAGGTACCCTGGGTCCATGTCAGTGAAGTTAGTTGATTTATAATTATTTGCATTGTGAGATTTTGTATAAAACAGCAAGTGGAAGAAAACAGTATATAACTAAAGCAGTGAAAAATTTTTCATTAAGGGATATCTGCTGCACATGTTAGTTAAATGTGTGTTTTATTATTCTTGTTGCATTGAAAAATGAAGTGAAACTCATTGATTTTAGTACCCCTCATCTCTGTAAATTCATAATCAAACAAAGTTAAATAACTAATCTATAAATAGGGGAATCTACATCTTTTAGTATTTGTTTTTTTTATTTTTGCTGCAGTATAATTTGATTTATACTATGTTAATTAATTTTATTCCTAGTTATTTGGTCCAGGAATTCAGCCTCATCACTGTGACCTCACTAATATGGATGGAGTTGTTACTGTAACTCCGAGAAGCATTGATGCTGAAACCTATGTGGAAGGTCAGCGTATTTCAGAAACCACCATGCTGCAAAGTGGAATGAAGGTTCAGTTTGGGTCCTCTCATGTATTTAAGTTTGTGGATCCTACTCAGGACCATATTATTTCCAAAAGATCTACTGATGCAAGTCTTATGGTCAAAGGTCCAAGACACAAAACTGGGTGAGTAAAATCGGGAGCCTTGGGAAAAAAAGACAGAATGAGAGCATTATAAATGCCCAGAGACTAGTGTGTGAACTCATTTAAAGTGTTAAATATATAATTTTAATACTTGAGCTCCACCTTGTGATTTTATGTAGGATTAACAAGTGCCTTTTTCATTGCGAAGTACTCAAGTTTTCTTCATGCTCACTTCTGTTTGAAAAACACTATAATGCCTTATATTTGCATGTATTTCACAGTTCATCCAAGCTCCAGGAAAAGTCAAGAAGCTGCTGAATGTTTTCAGAGTGTTCGGTTTTTGTTTTTTTCTCAGATAATAACTTTCAAGATTCCACTAAAAGGATTTGGAAATGAAGTAGTCATGAAATGAGACTTTTAAGATAGGGTACTCATATGTCTCAATGTAACAACCACTTTTTGTAGTGTGACTATTTACCCACTAGTTTCTGTGTTGCAGGGACTGACGTTCCAGAAGTCTACCCTGTTGTTTCTCATTTGTATTTTTGATAGGTGCATGATAAAAATACTGATCATAGATACTGTGACTCATAGGGGTTCGGGTGTTTTGTTCAATGGCTATAGAAATACTCAGAAGAAACAATCTTAAAATCAGTTTGTGTAGGAGGGGGAAAAATAACAACATCCTATTTTCCGTCTTCTCTGGGTCCAAATTAGGCTAGTATTGTTAATATATACATTATTGTATAATGTCATTTATAAAAGTAACAAATGGGCTTGGAGATGAGTGAGAGAGATACCTAGGAAAAGAAGCTTATTTCCTGAATTAACATAGATGTATGCTTTAACTATTTTTATCTTTTCTCTACTGTATTTTCTTATGGAAGGACACTGTGCTTTTTGTAGGCCCTGTTTGCAGGAAGACCTCCAGCCATGTGGCTGTCATGTAATATTCTTGCTAAATCTTGAGTTTTCTGCATTTAGCCTGCAGATCAATAAATAAGTGCTCTTGCAGATTTACAGTCAACTGGAAAGCACTGTATTACTGCAGAGCTTTATCCGGACAATAAAATCTATGGCAAAGGACTGTTGCAGCTTGAACAATCAAGTATTTTTAAAAATCTTTAGAATAAGGAGATAGTAATATGCATTACTATGATTTATGAATTATTTATGTGATGTTGTACATTTAATACTAAAGAGCTGAGTAAAAAATTGTATCTAGTCTACTGTAGCGAATGCAATGCCTTGAACATGTTTTAGGTCTATTATGTTTATGTATATTTATATTTTCCCACTTGCCTGGGAAGAAATTAACTAAGACTCTGCTTTTGCAAATGAAATTACCTTTATAAATATTTTTAGGCTTTATTAATATGAAGAATTAATACAGTATTAGAAAAAGTTAATATTAACTGGACTTATGGTATAACCCTTGAATTTTAATTTACTAATTTTAGTTACTGTGTTCCTTGTTGGTTAAATTTTTAACAATATCATTTCTAAAACATACTGGAAATGTTATCTTGCTTATAGAGCTGTCCAGGAAACCACATTTGATCTGGAGGGAGATATTCACAGTGGAACAGCATTACCAGCAAGCAAGGTATTGTATTATGACTGAGTTAGCCATAAATAAGAGCATGTGTAAGTTAAATCAAAATTACAATATCAGTAGTATTTGAGGAAATGTGGCCAATTTATCAGTCTCCTCAGCTGTTTTTCCTTGTGGATGGGCTCAGATATTATATGCATTATTATTTTAGATTTGGGTTGGTTTCTTTTCCCAAAACCCTTTTGTTTAAATTTGTATTTTGTTAAAATTGTATTATAAATTGGGCATGCATCTCATGTCAAGAATAGTAACATTTTTTTAGAAAGATAGATAAATTCTCCAAACCTCAAGTAGTTTTTCCCCGAATTGACTTATGGAAAGCAGATTACATGCAGGTAGAGATTCTTGTTAGAACTGGCACATTGTAACCTCCTGTGTGTAGCATATGGCTGTTGTCATTTGTGACGGGGTAAATAAATGTTTTATATAAAATGTGAAAGGGCATTCAATTTTAATTTAACTAGGCTTTTAAAATTTAATGGATGTGACTTTAGACTTCAATAGAGCGCCTGTACACACATTGACTAAACAAACTGTCTGTGCAGTCATAATTATAAACATTTTATGAGGTGATAATCTTTTATTTCTTTCTTTCTGCACTTTCTGTTAATAGATTTTGTGTCAGAATTGCATTTTCCAAGAGCAAACAAATAGAGTAAATGACACTATGGTTAATGCCTTACTTGCTATGATCACATGCCTCAGATGAAATGAGAGAATGAATTATTTCAGCAGTATGAAATGGAGTAATCTTCCCAGAACTGCATTCTCTTTTATGTTTGATTTCTAGTATTAGAAAGCTGAAATGCTTGTAAATATTTAGTAATACTAATGCAGCAGTGTAGGTATTAATAACTCTGATAGCTTTTGAATGTATTTTTAGTCTTATTTGTTTTCTTACGACAGTCTTTTGATTCAGTTTCTCTACTTTATATATATCTATATATATATCTTTATATTCTTTATCTACTTCTGATAGGAATTTTAGTGATATTTTAGAAGGAAGAAGAGAAACTTTGTAAACTAATAAAATATCCTAAAATTTTTCAGAGTAAGAGTTTCTGGCTTTAAAACATAGCATACTTCATATCCTATTCATAGTCACTAGAAAAATACTTCTCGTGGGCCTAGGGATTGATGGGAAAGTTTAGTTTCATTTTTAGTTGTACTGTTTGAGACTGTGTATAACATCTTGTTAAAGCACTGATGAATCATTCATTTTCTAACACTTGGTCTCTTCTAAGTTTGCTTTTCTGTTTGGAAAAGGGGTAACAGTAAGTTTAATGAAAGTTCTCTGAGACGTGGTGGTGAAAAGTGATTTAGTTCAAGTTCTTGCTTTGGGATGCACTTGTTGACAGATTTTCCTTTGTTGAAGCAACTTATTTAGTCCTAGAAATTTCTTATGAAATGTTGAAACACTTTCTATTTTACTGATGTCGTGTTTTTTATTCTTTATGCTGAAAAAGATTACTATTTATTTTGCTGCTTGAAGCAGCATGTTTGTCCCATTCCTGATAAGATTTGGTTGAATTAGAAATCATAAATTAAAAGCTTCATTCAGCTTCCTTAAGGAGCATGAGACACCAAAAGAAAACAAATGGTACATAAAAAAACCTCACAGTTTGAATTGCTCCTTCTTGTCTTGGAAGTTTTGTTCGGCCTGCCAGATCAGACTTTGCTTAAGATCAAGATAAATTATATTATAGATTAGTAGTGCAAACACTTGGAACTATTGCAGAAGCAGAGTGGGGGAGCATGACCAGTTTTAAATTTGTAAATACATTTAGCTTTATCTCTTACCTAAAGTTTTGATTCCCAACTCATTCTTCCTTTGTATTGTAGCTATGCAACTTTTGATTAAAGATGTTTGAAAGCTGCATTATAAATTCTAGCAGTGCATTAACAAAGAGCTGCTCCTAGCTGGCCGTTGTTGTCTGTTGAATTGGAAGCAGGCTCTTCAGTGCTTCTCTGTGGTGAAAACGCCTGCTGAGCTGTCGTTCTCTGTGCCATACTCCCTTCTTCTGTTTCCCCATCTCTCTTCAAGCCTCAGACCTCAGCTTTGTTTTAGTGGTACTAGCACAAGTACTGGCTCGTGCAGTGCTTGCATGCTAAGCACTTGTCCTGTTGTTTTGAATTAGAGCACCAGCAGGCTGGATGGTGACAGGACATCATCTGCATCCAGCACAGCTGAGCGAGGAATGGTGAAGCCAATGATCAGAATAGACCAGCAGGATTACCGGAGACAGGACAGCAGGTAGGAAACGTGGGATCCATTGCTCCTCAGAATCGAAAGAATTGATTTGTTTTTCCAGTAGACCAAGTGCTGCGTTAAAGTATTTTAAATGATCTGGGTTTCAGTATGGAGAATGAGATTTCCTTTGAGGTAATTCTCCAAATAAACCCCGGGATTAACAACCAAAGCAAAAAACTTCACAATACTTAAAAAACCCCAAAAACTTCATCCTTTGCTTCAGTATTCTGTTATTTGTGGCTCTCTTTTTGTAAAGTCAGGCTGATAGTCATGTCACATCATTGGTGATTTGTGGTTAGACATGCCAAATGAAATGAAAAACTAATTACTTAAAATTTTCATTTGTCAATGGCAATATGATTTACTCTGGAGAGTGAAATTACATTGATGTTACATGAAATAGGCATTATTACAAATATTGCATTACATGAAATAGACATTGGTATGTCTACTGTGCTGCTGTCAGCAGGCGTGGAGTTTTAGTCCTTGAAGATACTTAAAACCTGACTGGACAGGGTAGTGCGTAACTTGCTCTTGTTGACCCTGTTTTGAGCAGGGAAGTTGGATCAGATGATTTCTAGAGTCTCCTATCACCTCAGCAAATCAGTGAGAATGTGAATAGAATTTTTTTTCAAATCTTTCAAAAAATACAAAATTGCATTGCTGTCTACATAAATTAACTTTTAAATTTAGGTGAACAGCTCTGATAAATGGATGAAAGGTAAGGTAAATGTGCTGCAGGGTCAAAACGTGCAGTGATCTGACTTGTAAAACTTGCAGTATGAAGCTTTTTGTACCTTTAAGTTGATATATTATTCACTATTATTCTCAGAAAAGAGAATTCAGAGATGTGAGTGGCAAGAAAAAAGTACACTCCAAAAAGGGCAGAAAATTGTGCTTCCACTTGAATGTTCAAGTGTTCTATAGCAGGGGCATCTTTTAAATACTTTCACTGAAGATAAACTAGAATGCAACTCAGTTCTACTCTGCACTCTCTTGTTAGAGTGCCTGGTAACCTTCAGATTCTTTTTTAGAATTTTATTAAGGTTGTGAAGATTTAACTCCTTGAATTACTAGCATTTTAATTGCAATTTCCTCATAAAAGTTGAACAAAACTTCTTTCTGAACTTTTTATAGCCTGTCAGAAGTTCTTGAGGCTTCTACTGATAATGCTTTTTGATCTGTGCCTCTTTATATGTATGAAGTTTATTGAATTTCTGTGAAGAGGATTATCTTATATTGTAGTTCTGTATTTCAAAAACAGCCATCTGTGAGCTGTGTCTTGGTTTCATTTTGTTGGGGGTTTTTATCTTCTTAAATTCCTTCTAAAGAGAGTACTTGTTGCTAGTTTTTATAGAGATTTTTTTTCACCATGGTTCCTGTGTGCAGAAAATATTTTTAGAGGCATCTAGATCCCACTTAAATTTGTGGTAACTACAATCTCAGATCGTCATCACCAGCCCTGACACTGATATTTCAGTATATATCTTACATGTCTGTACTATGTGTTGTGTAATGAGTCTTATTTATCTAAATACAGCACTTCTATCGTGTGCTCTTCCTCAGATACATTCACTGTGTTCATGAGAATAACAAATCAACAAAGTCAGGATGTCAAATTAGGACTTGGCAAATTGGGAAATGAGTTGCCTGAATACATGGAATTCTTCCCCTTTGTGGATATATTTTGTGGACCTTTAGTTAGTTTTCCTCTGGGATACTCTGGTCTCATTTTGTAAACTCTAAGGACAGTAATTGTGAACTGCTTGATTAGTTTAAAAAATCAAAAATTCTTCACTGGCAAGTTTCAGGTTCTTGTTACTGTACAACTTCCAGGCCACACTAAATATTCTTGTGCATACTCTGTGTTCATCACTACTCTATAAGAGTGAATAATAAGACAAATAAGACTTTCTTCCAGTAACTCACTGAATGAGTTGAAGACCAAAGATTAGAACTTGGCTGCTATGTTTTTTTCATTTTTAGAAAGAAAAATAATTGAGATCTGAGAGCATAACTCCAGTTTACTTACTGGGTATGATTGTTCTGATTGTAGTCTGATTCTTGGAAATCAAACATGATGACTATTCAGTTAAGGATTATGGTCATACATGCTCATTAGATAACTGCCTACAATTAATATGAGAAAAGATAATTTTTTGCCTTGGATACCTTTCAGGAGTTGTTCAAGATGTATTTGGTTGGGAAAAGGTATGAGGATATGTAAGTAGTGTTAACTGAATACAGATGCTTAGCTGATTCCTTGCTTTAACATGCCTTAAAAATTTACACATAGCTAGTATGCTGACTAAAGCAATCAAACAAGGGTGTTTCATTTTTTTATTCAGTTCATCAGAGACAATCTAGGAGAATACAGAAATATCAGGAGAATGCATTATTGCTTTTAATGCTATTTTAAAGTGTAATATTACCTGACACTAAGAAAGGAGGCAACTCCTATCAATATTTTATGGCCTTCTAAACCTAACTAGACTTTCAGACTGGTTTAGCTCAAAGAATTTCATCACCACAAAGAGGCTTTATCTATAAGAGCATAAAGACAATAGGCACTTAAAATGTATCCATTAAAATGTACTATCATATCAGAAGCACAGAGAATTACTTCAACTTAGATTTCTAATGTGCAAAGCTTAATTAGAGAGTATTTCTTCTGTGTATTTTTAGGGGAAGGAGGAAGATGGTACGGGGTTGGAACTAGATGATCGTCAAGGGCTCCTTCCAACCCAGGCCATCCTATGAATCCATGATTTGGTGGGAAACTCCTATTAGGGTAGTTAAATAGTTGTTTACTGCATCAGTTCCTAAACACCTAATTTACAGATTAAATTAACAATTTTAAAAGAATACTTTTATTCATTTATCTCTTATGGCCAGTTTCCAGAAGTCTGTAAGCAATCTTGCGTTAATATCAGGTCTCATTATTTGTGACACATTGTCTCTCATTGGCTGGGAATCCAATTCATCTGCTTGTGCTGAAACTGATCAATATAATTTTGTTCTAAGGAAAATAAAATTAATCATCAGCTGAAATCTGTTACTGGTTTACAAGACAATTTGTTAAAATATTTCTATCTCTTACTAACATTCCTATAATGAAAGATAAAAAATTTCTCAGGAGTTGCCACTGTAGTTCAGTTTTAGAATGCTGTGTATTAATATTTTTTCTATGGAAGTAATTCTCAGTGAAGATGGTGTACTTTTGACAGTGTGGAAGTAGTGACAAATTAGTTCATTTTAAATTTATAGCAATAAAATTCACAAAATACTACAATTTACACACCAGCTGTGTGCTTTTCATAAAGACAGCATGCTGTCATGTTTGAAATGTAATTGAAATGGCAGAAATTTGTGTACGTACTGCCATGCTGTGCCTGCTATTCCTTAACTTTCAACTCCCCAGAAGTGGGATTTGCTGAGCACTTCTTATAAGAAGGCATTATCTGAGTTCTAAGGCATAACCTGAGTTCTCTGCAGAATTAAGGTTTTGCAAGTTTGTAAAAAAGCAAGCAACCAAACAAACCCCCACCAAAACCCAAAGGTACCCCAGATTTTTTGATTCAATATGCTAAAATTTAGTTTTAGATCTTTTGACATCAGCCATCAAAATTATATTGTGGATTTTTACTACAGGAGATAAGACACTGAAAGCCTTTATTTAGTTATCTCTGCCTTGTGGCATAACTAATAATCTTCATGAGAACGAGGTTAATATAATTATATTACATTCCCTTCTTTATCAAAGTTGTTGGGGTAAATAGAAAGCTGCCTGTTGTGGTAAAAGTGGTGGTTAAAATATGGTTAAAATGGTTATTGCCGAAGTTAAGCTTTTGCTCATTTCCTTAACATAGGTGCCCAGCTGCAGAGAACAGCTCAGGTAATGCCTTTGCTTAAGGCAGTAATGATTGGATGGAAATAAGGATAAGGTTTTTCACCCAGAGTGTGGTTGGACACAGGAACAGGCTCCCCAAAACAGTGGTCACAGCATCAGTCTGACAGGGTTCAAGAAGCATTTGGACAATTCTCTCATGCATATGCTGAGACTCTTGGGGCATTGTATGCAGGGCCAGGAGTTGGACTCAAAGATTCTGATGGGTCTCTTCCTACTCAGGGTATTCTGTGATTCTGTGAAATACACACTTAGCCTTTTGCAGGCACCAGGAAAGTCAAATCTCTGTTCAGGTTGCTACTCTGTGATTTCTCTGATAGGTTCTGGTAAGAAATAGCTCTGCAGTCAGTTTTAGTGAGGACAATTCTGGGGCTGATTGCTGTTTCTTTATGTAGTGTAGCAACAGCTAGGTGGGGGTAGGTACTGGGTTTGACCTCCTTTCCCTCTTTACCAGAAAAAAGGATAAATAGGTTGACTAAGTCTTCATAAATTTTGAGGGCATGAAAGGCAGCAAAGTACATTTTTTGTAACCAAGCTGTGTTTCAGGCAAAGCTTCATTCAATTTCTTTCATGTGTCCATGAATAATTTGTTATTTGAATCCTGTCAATGGCAGATGGCAAACTGATCCTATGGATATGCTGTGCAGTGCACAAGAAGGTGTAATATCACAGACTCCACGGTTCAAGTCTGTATTTTTATCTGTTGTGATCCTAGCAAATACAGCTTGAATGATTCTGGAGGAAAGGTAAAAAAAGGGTTCTGTGGAAGGTTGTTGTGTCAACATTTGGAATCAGTGTATTTGGAGAAATATATAATTTTACAATAATTAATATAATTCATGTGGATTTTTTGTTTCAATTTTTCTCATCTTTCTTTAGATCTCAGGATACCCATGGACCAGAACTGATACTCCCTGCCAGTATTGAATTCAGGGAAAGCTGTGAGTAGATTGTGAAGTTACAGTGCTAACCTGTTAATGTATTCTTCTATATTGTAATATTTCAGTCTGTTTGAAAACTTAAGGGTGATTTAAGTAAACTTAAAGTAAAGAAACTTTGACTATACAGGTGCTAGACAGTCCAGTAGTATAACTTGTTTTGTTGGGAGGGTGAACAGATACTTTAGATACTGAGGCATGTTCATGCATATCTTAATTCTGATTGCATTTCAACTCCTTATCTCCAGATATTCAGATTAAACGTGAAAAAAATTTTAATCCCATCTCCTCAACAGTACCTTGGATTCATTATCTTCTATATAGTTCTCTATGCCTTGTGTAATAGATGGTGTCTTGGTCAAAATCAATTTTCTATAAAATCTGATTAGGTATTTAGAGTTTAATTTTGTATAATCTTGGTCCCCAGGTTAAGGCCTCAGATCTGGTAGAAAAATAACATCCTAGAGATTGTCCATACTTCAAATATTTGAAACGAAATTGATTCATGAGGAACTGATTTTTAAAAACTGATTTTTATTAAAATGAGAGCTTTGTTGGGGTAAAATGTACAAAATAAATCTTGCGTTTTCCTGTTCCCTTGAAGATGCACATTTTCAGTAGGTGGCAAATAGTACAGAAATGTTTCCCAGTGATCAGATTTTCTGGCTTTATATAAAAGTGTTTTTTTAGTGTGTCTAACTAACTGTAGTACATAATAGGCGACTCAGAGTTCAAATTCCTGTAAGTTGCTCCCCCTTCCTCTCCTTCTCCTGAAGAAAATCCTTTAGGCTTCAGGTTACGAAATCGTTTTCTTTCATTTTCTTTCTGTCTTTGGATTTACAACATGCTGTTTCTTTTCCTTTGTCTACAGCTGAAGATGCCTTCTTATCTGCCATTATAAATTACACAAATAGCTCGACAGTGCATTTTAAGCTGTCACCAACATATGTTTTGTATATGACATGTCGGTATGTATTGTCCAGCCAATACAGACCTGACATCACTCCTGCTGAGCGTACTCACAAAGTCATTGCAATAGTCAACAAGATGGTGAACATGATGGAAGGAGTGATACAGGTGAGTTACTCTGCTGAAACATGTCAAGCGAATTACGTACGTTTTGTTGATAATCTAGCCAACATCTTAGCTTTTTTCTTAGTCTGACCCTTAACCGTAGTTGATTAAACAGTAATACCTGCATTGACTGCCCTTACGAAGGGGATTACCTGCATTCACTGCTTTTATGTCAGTGAATAATGTCAGTGATAAGAAACTCTCTCCTGAGCAATGTGGGAAGTTGGGGAGTGGCTGTTGCTCTGAAGATTGTTCTCTGACAAGAGGTGACTCTTTTCTAGAAGGTAAGATCTTTGCAACCATTTCTGGCTGTGAACCCTTGTAAAACAAGTTGGATGGGCTTATTAAAAAATACTGTATAGGTAGCATTTGTTTGCACGGATTGATACTTGAAATGAACACACTGAAAAGGATCATGACTTTTAAATTTTGACCCTCTTACTTTTACAACTTTTGTAACCCTGAAAATGGTTGGACATCTTGAACATAAAAGTGGACATAAGACTTGGACATCCCGAACCAAGCTGACACAACTGCTTTGTAAAGAGAAATACCAGTTCTCAAATATTCCAACATTTTATATGTAGTCTAACACTCTTGCTACTATATGTGCAAGACTTCTACAGAATGGCAGGGGGAATTCTGTTTTCTGTAGAAATGCAGGATAAGACCCACTGGGTTGTCTATGATCTTAGACAGTACCTTGTGTTGGTGTAGCTTGCATTGATAAAACAGACTGGTCATTTTCTCAAAAAGGAGTGCTAGTTCATGTATCCTCAGTAATTAATTAATTAATTAAACTTCTTTGTCTGCAGGCTTTTCTCAGAAGAAAAATTGAAATCTGTTTCTATATTTATTAAAACAGGTGTGTTTGTTGCAAATAGTGCTGCCAGAGTAGCAGCAAGGACCGTGCTACACTAAGGCATAACGAATATGTCAGTCCTGCTTTAGGCAATTTACAAGTGTTACACACAGCTTGATTAAGGGAGAGTAGGAAGGTAACAGGAGTGGCATGAAACTGACAGCAAACCAAAGTTGTTCAGCTTCTGTTCAGATTTGGGAAAGATTTAGTGAAGTTTTCAGCAGGAGAATGTTAGCTCTAGACATCTGTATGATCTTATATAACAGGCTCCCACCTTTTGCAGGAAAGATGGGAGGAAATGCTGGTGTTGAGGACACTTTCCAATAAGAAAGTAAAATTTGCCTTCTGTGTACGTTCCAAAGTTGATCAGAGACTGAACAGCAGTTTGCTTTTGAAGTGAAGAACTAGAATATTGCTTTGAATCTTCATGATGTCAGTCATTTGAATCTTGATGTCACAGTCAATGGATATTCGATAAAATTGAAATCGTATCAAAAATTAATATTCAGGCTCTTTTATTAAAAAAAAAAGCTGTGGAAGAGAGGAGACTGTGGCTATAGGAGAGAAAATGAACTGGCAAGAGTCTGCCCATAAGCAATTCAGGGACTAGAATGGAAAGTAAACAGAAGGATAGGCTTCAAATATAAAATGGAAGTTACAGGTGTGAATCAAAAAGTCACTAAGTTTATATAACTAATATATACTAGTTATAAAGGACCTAAAAAGAGTTGTAGTGACAGAGGCGAGTACAGTGGGAAAACAGAGAGAAAGTTTTCTATTCTTAGTCTTGAATGGCTAACAAGATGTCTGCTAGAAGATTCTAGGGGGGTGGACTCAAACATCAGTTTGATTTGAAAACAAATCAAAGCTAGAAAGTAGATTATCCTGTGAAAATGTTTATTAACCACGCTGAGAAGGGCTTCCCAAGTCACATGCAGCCTTGTGGTTGTAAGCAAACGTATTTTCTATAATCCTGCAAATACCATTACAAAACTGTTAAACCCAACTGTTTGTCTGGACTATCCTTTTTGAAATGCCATTTCTACAGCCTTGTAACTTCAGCTGCAATCTAATCTCCAACCTAAATTTTAAGTAACACATTAGCGAGGAAGCAGTGTTTGTGGTTTGTGGAGGATCTTGCCTAGTTGCAAGGAATCAACTGAAAGCAGTCAGACGTTGCATAAAAATTGGGAGGAGGTTCATTAAAATGTCATGGTGAAGGAGCCAGAGGAAAGGGGGGAAAATATACCTGTGACAAAAGAGTAAACCTTTAGTGAATTTCAAGGTTAATAGACTGAAGGCAAAGAAATACAGCAATTCTAATGACCAGTAAAATGTCTTTAGCTTGGACTTGTCTTAGTGGAATAGAAGCAGTACAAGCAGTACAAGCTAAGTCAAATTACTTCATCTAAGGTTTAACATAAATGGTTATATTTATGGTCACAGTCAAATTACCATGTAATAAGTTGTACCACAATAGCTTTTTTTGTGTGTCTTAAGTGGAAAGCATTCCTGACTGAAGGGGATCTGGTGGTATGAGAGACAGAGAAAAATGAGAGGCAAGGGAAGAGAAGCACCCAAAACAAAAGTAGTGCAAAGGTGCACAAACTCCTGTGCTGTATTGTGGGAGTAGATCCGAATTTTACCAGCCTAAATCAGAAAGCTATGTTTGTGAAGTTACTCAATAAATACTTGCTAACAAATGAAATCTGTGACTTCATATATAATATTTGTATTCAAATATTAAAGATGCCTTTGTATGAGATAGGTAATAAAGTAGGAGAGATCTATGAAAAGGCTCAGTGCTTTCAATAAAAAAGAAGGATTAAAAATTCAGTTCATATAAAAAACCCTTTTTTTTGTATCCTTATTTTTTTTTCCCAAATCATTCTCTGGCATTTTTCATCCTTTTTAAATTTTAACATTTGTTTGTAGAAGAAGCATTTCCTTTTGTTCTGTGCCAACACATCTTCAGTCAGTTAAAAGCGCTTTTGTTGGAAAGGGGGAGGAAAAACAAATCAGTAATTTGGTGTTTTGAGCTCTAACTAAGATTAAAATATTAACACCTCAAATATGTGCATCTAAGCTCACTGTGTTGCAGGTGGGGGAGAGTGATCTGAACAGAAAGCAAAAAATAATTAAGAGCTCAGTTCTAAATAATCAAACATCTGGTGGGTTCTTTTTTTTCTTTTAACTCAGTGTAGCTTTATATTTACCAACATTTAAGAAACTCAGTGTGGTATTTCATTTGACTCTTCTGTTGTTTCAAACAGTCTTTTTGTTCTTTAATTGAAAAGTCATGTATTAAATCTGTCCTAGGTGTTCTATGTATTTTGTTGCCTTTGAATGTTGTTTGGTTGTTTTTTGGTTTGTTTTTTTTTTTTTTTCTTTCTATTTGGATGGGGGGGTTTCTGTTCCCTCTTTGTGTGTGTTTGTATATTGTCTCTATTGCAGCAGTGTGGGCAAATGGCTCCCAGGATCTGTTGTTTGGATGGCTAGTTACCCCATTGCCTGCAAAAATTTCTTCAAGGTTTCTCTGGCACACTGAGCATGGAATAACCAGTCTGGGATTGCAACTAGTATAAGGCATTATTTCCTTGAATTAGTCATGACACGTAGGCACTTCAGTTTGTAGCTGTTGTGCTACTGGTCCTATTAAAATAATTAATTTTTTAGAAGGAGCTCAGTTGCATTGTAGCTACTGATTAATGCATCTGTGTATAACTGTGAACATGTGTTGTACCTTCATATTTAGTGTTTGATTTCTAAAGCTTTCATGATTGTTCACAAGTTTCTTTCTTCTATTCTGTTTGATTTCCTTCGTCCGTTTTTCTCCAGGAGGTAGACCAGGTTGATCAGGTAGGATATATTTGCTGGGAACTGATCCTAGCTATGTTGGCTTAGCTCAGTTTCTCATGCTGCTTCCATATCAAAATACAATACTCAAACAACTGGACTTGAACAGTTCATAACACTCATTCAGCAACTGGAACATGCAGTACTAAAATCCTTTTTTGACTTTGCAACTTTTACGGCATTCCATAATTTCTGCTTAACGCACTTCAATGTGGATATGAAATGACCAAAGTTCTTTTTCTTCCCTTTATTTTCTTTTTTTGTTGTTTGTGGTTCCTATTCTTTGGATTTCATCTGAGGTTGCCTGTCCTGGCATTTGTGGTCGGGAGATGGTGAGATAGATCAGTACTTGATACTGAATCACATGGCATCAAAGCCAGTGAGCGCAGTATCAGCGTGGCAGTGGGCGGTAGTGAATATGCGCTTAAAAGTGCACAGATTACCAGATACTGCATCTGCTAAGCTCTTAGCACTGTGTAATTAGATGCTTACACTGTGGCTTTCATTGATATGGCTATTGGCAATTTATTAGCATTTCATGTGTTCAGTGAACATGTTAAAATTGAACTCAGTAGTTACAGAAATTGTGGTATTATGTACAAACATTTTGCAAATATCTGGTATCTGAGAGATGTTTGGTGAAATGGGAAGAGGTACTGGTCTATCTTTTGGAGCCTTTTTAAGCTGCCATGCTTAAACAGAAAAGTATTTCCCTGTATTATTTCTTGCTTCTTTCCACTTACAGAAACAGAAGAATATTGCTGGGGCCCTTGCCTTTTGGATGGCAAATGCATCTGAACTACTCAATTTCATAAAGCAAGACAGAGATCTTAGCCGAATTACTGTGGATGCACAGGACGTTTTGGCACATTTAGTTCAAATGGCGTTCAAGTAAGGCTATCAAACTTCTGTTCTAGTTACCGTTTTCTCTGTTTCTGTGATTTATTGAACAACTTCACATTTCTGCAGAATTTTAGATATTGCAATAATGCCCTTTGTGTATTGTTAAATATCTGAGAGGAAAACTTAGAAGATTTGTGCACGAGTTTCATCTGTTAGATGAAACCATTCTTGTGATAGTTGAAACTGCCAATGAAAATTTTAGGGAAATTACTGTTGATTGCTTTCTCTTAATTTAATGTGAAATTGTGAGAAAAGGTTAGTTTTGCTGTTAGTATGTAGATACATAGGTTTAAATATTCCTGGGTCTTTAAATTAATGAATCTCATGCTCTTTAAGGGCTTCTAAATATAATCTACTTTCATAATTCTCATAAATAGCAATTAGCACTGTTTTTGTTGCACAGATTTTTCTTAGAAAAGGAAAGGCAGGTTTTGGCTTGGACCAAAAATCAAGCTATACTTGTCAGCTCAGCCAATTACAATGCTGATTAAAGGAAAAATTGAATCAAATATCAAATTGGAAGGGAAACTCTCAGAGTGTGGATGCACAGCCTGGGAAAGTTGTGTGAAAACAGGAAAGCTTTCCCGTGGACTGCCTGAGAAGTACAAGCTTTCTCATAAGCTTGGAGAAAAACAGAAAGGAAGAAATCTCAAATAAAGATTGCACCTGCTATCATTTACAGAATGTGTACTGTGAGAAATTGTATTGTTTACAGTAAGAACATCTTGCAAGAGGCGTTGCTTGCTCTGACCAATGAGCTGTGTTCTGTTCTTGGGTTAGCGATCAAGTGTACATAAGGAAGGTAGTGTAACAATGAAGTGTCTCTTTCCTATCTTGAAGGACCGTGTTGCTCTGTGTTTTATTGCTGCTGTTCTATAGCTAACTATATACCAAAACAGCAACATCAGAGGAAAGTGCCTTGAATAAAGATAACAATATTGGCAGCATTAATCAAAAAGAAAGGCTTAATTTTTGTTCATATTCAGATTTTTTTCTTCTCTCCAAGTCACTACTGTAGAAGTATTTCTCAGGAAATTTGCAAATCAGAAACTAATGTTTAGAGAAGCCCCAGTGTACCTTGGGTGACTTAGACCCAGCCTACTCTCACTTGTAGGATGACTGTTTTAAATAGAGTACTTTCATTTTTCTGTAATATGAAATACTGTATTGCGTGCTCTTTTTATACTGTGACAGGACTGGGAGACTTAACCAGGGTTAAACAGTTTAGCTTTGAGGGGCTGTGTTTCTCAGAAGAGCACTATGTGTAGTTTGTGAAACTTTGTCATTACTTTCTGAACTTTCAAAAGATTTCAGGGGAGCACTAGAGCCCTTTGTATGGATTCCACAGATTCTTTTTTTTCACTCTGTTGATAGATTTTGGGCAAGTAGGGTATAGCAAGTAGCTATTTTGACAAAGTCTTTTGATTTTTATAGCATCTCTAAATCACTACGTGTTAATGAAGCTGTGCCTTTTGCCACAGCTCAGTGTCTTGAGCTGGTGTGTTAAAATAATTTCCTGCTGCTTTAATTGGCCAGGTTGTCATCAAAGACAGACTGTTGCTGTGGTGCTGTATTTCTCTCTCTACATTATGAGCAGTCTGGATGCAAAATTATTCTTGAATTTTAGCTGTGTGGATTTTCCCTAAGTATAGTATAACATGGCAGATTCCAAATGCATGTATTAAACTTCTGGAGACCCCTGGAGTATATACTTAGAAGGCAAATAAAAAAGCACAACTGAAGTATGAGCAGAAAGAAATCTGCTGTGAAAATGTCACTTGATGGTAACTCACCTACTCCAGGACTGGTTGAAATTGCCATGGATTTAATTTCTAGCAATTCATTAAAAATGCTTCCAGTGAAATGAAGGGGGAGTTTTAAAAAGCCATGAAATATTTTCTTGTATACATGTGTTTACCATCTGATTCCTTTTTAGTTTCAGTTCTCAACAGAAAATGTATAAATGAATTAGCAAAAGCAGAGTTAAATATAATGTTTAATTATTTGAAGAGAAAGGATACTAGAACAGATTTTCATTTCAGGGTAGTTAAAGGTAAGAAAAATAAAAGAATCAAAAAATTTCTCACACAAAGCCCTAGGGCCGTTTCAGGATTTTGTGTGTTGGGTCACAACATGAATTTTTTTTTTAAGTGCTATTGCTAGATTTTAAAACAAAGAAAAATCTATTTCTATTTGGAAAAAATTGTTTTTGTAAATGTATGGAACCCAAGATTGGCCTGACAGCATCTCTTCGTGTAGCATGTGACTGTCTCTTATCAGTGTGGTAGCAATATTGCATGTAATTGTCTGTTTAGCTTGTTCCCAGACAACCTAATTCTTTGTCCAACGTTTCTAGGAAATTTATGGGAAAATGGGTCTCTCAGGCCTTTTAAAAAGTATTATTGGTTTTCCTGTAATCACATTTATAAGACATAAATTTCAGGAATCTTGTAATTTGATAGAACTCTTTTCTTTAGAACTATTGTAGTGAACACATAGAGGATTTAAAATTCACTTTTTTCCCCATTCCCTTCCAGGTACCTGGTTCATTGTCTGCAGTCAGAGCTTAATAACTACATGCCAGCATTCCTTGATGATCCAGAAGAAAATAATCCTCAGAGGCCTAAAATAGGTTAGACTAGGTTATCTTTGTGTCTTCCAAACCATACCATTAATTGTTAAGAAAAAACATCTAATTATTTCTAGTGGTACTAGATTTACAAGTTACCCTAACCCCTGAGAATTATTTGGATCAATTTTGTATGGATGATTCAACTCTCTGCTGAATTTAGTCCGTTAAATCTGTATCCCCCTTGTGCTGAGGATTCTGAAGCAGGATGCTGTGCTCGAGATGCAGTCTCACAGTGCTGAATGCATGGGAAGGATTGCTTCCCTCTCTCCCTCCTGCTAGCTGCACTGCTGCTGACCAAATAGCTTAGTGTACAATTGGATACCTTTCAAGCAATGACACACTTCAATCACATTCAACTTGATGTTTACTAGGATCTCCATAATTTTCATCAGGGTTCCTTTCTGTCCAGGTGGCACCTGTCCCATGCTGTTGCACAGACTTACTCTGTCCCACATGCAGGACTTGGCAGTTGCCTTTGACCTTCGTGAAGTCTCTGTCAGCCCATTTCTCCAGCCTGCTGAGGCCCTTCTGAAAAATACTGCTGCTCTTTAGTGTATCAGTATTTTAGCCCCTCTTGTTATCATCTGTGAACTTGCTGAGAATATGCTCCATCAAATTGCTCAGATCATTAATTAAAGTCATTAATTAAACAGTATCAGTCTCACTTTAAAATACGAAAGAAGCCACTAATCAGTGATTGCCAGCTGGACATGGTATCTACAAATTCACCAAGTCCTGTGGTCCAACCAGTTCTCTCCGTGTGTTGCCATCTGTTTATCCAGTCCTCGCCTCGGCAATTTCACTGTAGAGATGTTATGGGAGAACCTGATTAGGAATCTCCCAGCTGCTAAGGTCAGGCTGACTGGCCATGTAGATTCGTGCCAGGGCTTCCTGCCATGATTCTTGAAACGTGATGCTTGTGTCACAGCAATGAACCTTTCTGGGCTGTTCCTCTCCACCAGAGCACCCTGCTCAATGTGTGCTATCACCCTGCATCTGTAATCCTGGCTCAGTGACTGTGCTCAGACTAATAATGCCTCAATGATTGAAGGAAAAGTGATCTGCAGAGCAATTAAATAGAGCATTCTGTTGAACTACAGAGAGTATTTATACAAATTCCTTAAATACTTTCTGGTACTTTAAGTATTAAGCCTTCCGTTCTTGCTTTTTCTCTTGCATTGAGCCTTTAAGGAAGGCTGAAGATGCACTGCTATGTTTGTAGTGCCCTGTACTGTGAGAGTACTTCTGGGAACACAAATTCCGAAAATGTAGCAAACTGATACTGGAATAAAAGCAGATGCTGTTCTTATTTCAGTTATTTTTGAGCTGCCTTACAGATTTCTTGTAACCTACAGATTTTTTTCAGACATAATCCTGAGTTTCAGTTCTAAAAAAACTAATGGTCTCTTCAAAAGAGATTTCTGATTAAAAGTATTGCTTTAACGGAGACCTGGAGATAAATGTGTTGCTTCCACTAGGAAGCATATGAGGGTGTTGGCTCTTGCTGATGCTAATAGAAGTCTCTGTTGCTTGTTAGGTAATAGTGCATTGGAGTAATTGGAAAATGAGATTTTGAATAATTTTTAAAAACCTGATGTGTAAGCAACGTGCGTTCTATAGTTTAAGTGCATCATACAATGCAAATAACTTCTGCTGAAAAGAAGCTGTGGAATAATTGGAATATGCATTTGAAACAGTAGAATATGAAGGTTGCAACTTGTTATAAAAACTAACAGAAAAATCAGTTTACTAAAGAGGATGCGATTTAAACATCGGGTATAGCCTGTTACTTGTATGATAAATATTTTCCCCAATAATTTATTTTTATTTCAGGGGTTACGTTCCACCTAGGATTTTAATGTTGCTCTGTCTTCAAAATCATGGAGCAGTAAATGTATTTCTGAAGGACTGTTTAACTTAAATACATGTAGATTCCACCTAACATTCACCAGCCTGACTTAAGTGTCTTTGTGTTATTGTCCCTAATCCAGGTGTACCCTGCAGTTTGTGAACACGAGTGACTTTCTGTTTTATCTCTGCAGATGATGTGCTGCATACCTTGACTGGAGCCATGTCCTTGTTGCGACGATGTAGAGTGAACGCTGCTCTGACAATACAGCTCTTCTCCCAGCTGTTTCATTTTATCAACATGTGGCTTTTTAACAGATTAGTTACAGCCCCAGATTCAGGGTTATGTTCACATTACTGGGGAGCTATTGTTCGCCAACAGCTCGGCCACATTGAAGCCTGGGCAGAAAAACAAGGTTTAGAATTGGCTGCTGATTGCCACCTGAGCAGAATAGTACAGGTGAGTGTATTTGTGATTAGCACTTCTCACGTGTTTATATAGTCAAAGAGAATATTTGCCTATGCTGTGTTCCTAGAAAGTAGCACGTGGAAAAAAGTATAGCTTGTGTGGATCAATCCTGGAACACTGAGGTAGCATTGAGGTAAAGACACAAAACATGTTTTCAGTATCATTAATGTTGAAGTTACAAGTGAAATCAATAGTGAACATGGATGTTAAATTTCCATTTATTAAATAACTGAGCTGTAACCATACTGAACAGAGGCAGGAAAAGTAGCTGAAAATTTGATATGCTTAATTTATGACAAATTTACTATTAATTCATCTTTTGGTACAGAAGTATTTAGTGTTTGTTTGGGAGGCTATTTATATTGTTTCAAATCTCCTTTTCTCTTGCTTTCTTGCTTTTTCTTTCCCTCTTATCTAAAGAACATTGAGACACAAGTTTTATTCTGGTTTGAATTTGTCATCTNTTTTTGGTTTGTTTTTTTTTTTTTTTCTTTCTATTTGGATGGGGGGGTTTCTGTTCCCTCTTTGTGTGTGTTTGTATATTGTCTCTATTGCAGCAGTGTGGGCAAATGGCTCCCAGGATCTGTTGTTTGGATGGCTAGTTACCCCATTGCCTGCAAAAATTTCTTCAAGGTTTCTCTGGCACACTGAGCATGGAATAACCAGTCTGGGATTGCAACTAGTATAAGGCATTATTTCCTTGAATTAGTCATGACACGTAGGCACTTCAGTTTGTAGCTGTTGTGCTACTGGTCCTATTAAAATAATTAATTTTTTAGAAGGAGCTCAGTTGCATTGTAGCTACTGATTAATGCATCTGTGTATAACTGTGAACATGTGTTGTACCTTCATATTTAGTGTTTGATTTCTAAAGCTTTCATGATTGTTCACAAGTTTCTTTCTTCTATTCTGTTTGATTTCCTTCGTCCGTTTTTCTCCAGGAGGTAGACCAGGTTGATCAGGTAGGATATATTTGCTGGGAACTGATCCTAGCTATGTTGGCTTAGCTCAGTTTCTCATGCTGCTTCCATATCAAAATACAATACTCAAACAACTGGACTTGAACAGTTCATAACACTCATTCAGCAACTGGAACATGCAGTACTAAAATCCTTTTTTGACTTTGCAACTTTTACGGCATTCCATAATTTCTGCTTAACGCACTTCAATGTGGATATGAAATGACCAAAGTTCTTTTTCTTCCCTTTATTTTCTTTTTTTGTTGTTTGTGGTTCCTATTCTTTGGATTTCATCTGAGGTTGCCTGTCCTGGCATTTGTGGTCGGGAGATGGTGAGATAGATCAGTACTTGATACTGAATCACATGGCATCAAAGCCAGTGAGCGCAGTATCAGCGTGGCAGTGGGCGGTAGTGAATATGCGCTTAAAAGTGCACAGATTACCAGATACTGCATCTGCTAAGCTCTTAGCACTGTGTAATTAGATGCTTACACTGTGGCTTTCATTGATATGGCTATTGGCAATTTATTAGCATTTCATGTGTTCAGTGAACATGTTAAAATTGAACTCAGTAGTTACAGAAATTGTGGTATTATGTACAAACATTTTGCAAATATCTGGTATCTGAGAGATGTTTGGTGAAATGGGAAGAGGTACTGGTCTATCTTTTGGAGCCTTTTTAAGCTGCCATGCTTAAACAGAAAAGTATTTCCCTGTATTATTTCTTGCTTCTTTCCACTTACAGAAACAGAAGAATATTGCTGGGGCCCTTGCCTTTTGGATGGCAAATGCATCTGAACTACTCAATTTCATAAAGCAAGACAGAGATCTTAGCCGAATTACTGTGGATGCACAGGACGTTTTGGCACATTTAGTTCAAATGGCGTTCAAGTAAGGCTATCAAACTTCTGTTCTAGTTACCGTTTTCTCTGTTTCTGTGATTTATTGAACAACTTCACATTTCTGCAGAATTTTAGATATTGCAATAATGCCCTTTGTGTATTGTTAAATATCTGAGAGGAAAACTTAGAAGATTTGTGCACGAGTTTCATCTGTTAGATGAAACCATTCTTGTGATAGTTGAAACTGCCAATGAAAATTTTAGGGAAATTACTGTTGATTGCTTTCTCTTAATTTAATGTGAAATTGTGAGAAAAGGTTAGTTTTGCTGTTAGTATGTAGATACATAGGTTTAAATATTCCTGGGTCTTTAAATTAATGAATCTCATGCTCTTTAAGGGCTTCTAAATATAATCTACTTTCATAATTCTCATAAATAGCAATTTGCACTGTTTTTGTTGCACAGATTTTTCTTAGAAAAGGAAAGGCAGGTTTTGGCTTGGACCAAAAATCAAGCTATACTTGTCAGCTCAGCCAATTACAATGCTGATTAAAGGAAAAATTGAATCAAATATCAAATTGGAAGGGAAACTCTCAGAGTGTGGATGCACAGCCTGGGAAAGTTGTGTGAAAACAGGAAAGCTTTCCCGTGGACTGCCTGAGAAGTACAAGCTTTCTCATAAGCTTGGAGAAAAACAGAAAGGAAGAAATCTCAAACAAAGATTGCACCTGCTATCATTTACAGAATGTGTACTGTGAGAAATTGTATTGTTTACAGTAAGAACATCTTGCAAGAGGCGTTGCTTGCTCTGACCAATGAGCTGTGTTCTGTTCTTGGGTTAGCGATCAAGTGTACATAAGGAAGGTAGTGTAACAATGAAGTGTCTCTTTCCTATCTTGAAGGACCGTGTTGCTCTGTGTTTTATTGCTGCTGTTCTATAGCTAACTATATACCAAAACAGCAACATCAGAGGAAAGTGCCTTGAATAAAGATAACAATATTGGCAGCATTAATCAAAAAGAAAGGCTTAATTTTTGTTCATATTCAGATTTTTTTCTTCTCTCCAAGTCACTACTGTAGAAGTATTTCTCAGGAAATTTGCAAATCAGAAACTAATGTTTAGAGAAGCCCCAGTGTACCTTGGGTGACTTAGACCCAGCCTACTCTCACTTGTAGGATGACTGTTTTAAATAGAGTACTTTCATTTTTCTGTAATATGAAATACTGTATTGCGTGCTCTTTTTATACTGTGACAGGACTGGGAGACTTAACCAGGGTTAAACAGTTTAGCTTTGAGGGGCTGTGTTTCTCAGAAGAGCACTATGTGTAGTTTGTGAAACTTTGTCATTACTTTCTGAACTTTCAAAAGATTTCAGGGGAGCACTAGAGCCCTTTGTATGGATTCCACAGATTCTTTTTTTTCACTCTGTTGATAGATTTTGGGCAAGTAGGGTATAGCAAGTAGCTATTTTGACAAAGTCTTTTGATTTTTATAGCATCTCTAAATCACTACGTGTTAATGAAGCTGTGCCTTTTGCCACAGCTCAGTGTCTTGAGCTGGTGTGTTAAAATAATTTCCTGCTGCTTTAATTGGCCAGGTTGTCATCAAAGATAGACTGTTGCTGTGGTGCTGTATTTCTCTCTCTACATTATGAGCAGTCTGGATGCAAAATTATTCTTGAATTTTAGCTGTGTGGATTTTCCCTAAGTATAGTATAACATGGCAGATTCCAAATGCATGTATTAAACTTCTGGAGACCCCTGGAGTATATACTTAGAAGGCAAATAAAAAAGCACAACTGAAGTATGAGCAGAAAGAAATCTGCTGTGAAAATGTCACTTGATGGTAACTCACCTACTCCAGGACTGGTTGAAATTGCCATGGATTTAATTTCTAGCAATTCATTAAAAATGCTTCCAGTGAAATGAAGGGGGAGTTTTAAAAAGCCATGAAATATTTTCTTGTATACATGTGTTTACCATCTGATTCCTTTTTAGTTTCAGTTCTCAACAGAAAATGTATAAATGAATTAGCAAAAGCAGAGTTAAATATAATGTTTAATTATTTGAAGAGAAAGGATACTAAAACAGATTTTCATTTCAGGGTAGTTAAAGGTAAGAAAAATAAAAGAATCAAAAAATTTCTCACACAAAGCCCTAGGGCCGTTTCAGGATTTTGTGTGTTGGGTCACAACATGAATTTTTTTTTTAAGTGCTATTGCTAGATTTTAAAACAAAGAAAAATCTATTTCTATTTGGAAAAAATTGTTTTTGTAAATGTATGGAACCCAAGATTGGCCTGACAGCATCTCTTCGTGTAGCATGTGACTGTCTCTTATCAGTGTGGTAGCAATATTGCATGTAATTGTCTGTTTAGCTTGTTCCCAGACAACCTAATTCTTTGTCCAACGTTTCTAGGAAATTTATGGGAAAATGGGTCTCTCAGGCCTTTTAAAAAGTATTATTGGTTTTCCTGTAATCACATTTATAAGACATAAATTTCAGGAATCTTGTAATTTGATAGAACTCTTTTCTTTAGAACTATTGTAGTGAACACATAGAGGATTTAAAATTCACTTTTTTCCCCATTCCCTTCCAGGTACCTGGTTCATTGTCTGCAGTCAGAGCTTAATAACTACATGCCAGCATTCCTTGATGATCCAGAAGAAAATAATCCTCAGAGGCCTAAAATAGGTTAGACTAGGTTATCTTTGTGTCTTCCAAACCATACCATTAATTGTTAAGAAAAAACATCTAATTATTTCTAGTGGTACTAGATTTACAAGTTACCCTAACCCCTGAGAATTATTTGGATCAATTTTGTATGGATGATTCAACTCTCTGCTGAATTTAGTCCGTTAAATCTGTATCCCCCTTGTGCTGAGGATTCTGAAGCAGGATGCTGTGCTCGAGATGCAGTCTCACAGTGCTGAATGCATGGGAAGGATTGCTTCCCTCTCTCCCTCCTGCTAGCTGCACTGCTGCTGACCAAATAGCTTAGTGTACAATTGGATACCTTTCAAGCAATGACACACTTCAATCACATTCAACTTGATGTTTACTAGGATCTCCATAATTTTCATCAGGGTTCCTTTCTGTCCAGGTGGCACCTGTCCCATGCTGTTGCACAGACTTACTCTGTCCCACATGCAGGACTTGGCAGTTGCCTTTGACCTTCGTGAAGTCTCTGTCAGCCCATTTCTCCAGCCTGCTGAGGCCCTTCTGAAAAATACTGCTGCTCTTTAGTGTATCAGTATTTTAGCCCCTCTTGTTATCATCTGTGAACTTGCTGAGAATATGCTCCATCAAATTGCTCAGATCATTAATTAAAGTCATTAATTAAACAGTATCAGTCTCACTTTAAAATACGAAAGAAGCCACTAATCAGTGATTGCCAGCTGGACATGGTATCTACAAATTCACCAAGTCCTGTGGTCCAACCAGTTCTCTCCGTGTGTTGCCATCTGTTTATCCAGTCCTCGCCTCGGCAATTTCACTGTAGAGATGTTATGGGAGAACCTGATTAGGAATCTCCCAGCTGCTAAGGTCAGGCTGACTGGCCATGTAGATTCGTGCCAGGGCTTCCTGCCATGATTCTTGAAACGTGATGCTTGTGTCACAGCAATGAACCTTTCTGGGCTGTTCCTCTCCACCAGAGCACCCTGCTCAATGTGTGCTATCACCCTGAATCTGTAATCCTGGCTCAGTGACTGTGCTCAGACTAATAATGCCTCAATGATTGAAGGAAAAGTGATCTGCAGAGCAATTAAATAGAGCATTCTGTTGAACTACAGAGAGTATTTATACAAATTCCTTAAATACTTTCTGGTACTTTAAGTATTAAGCCTTCCGTTCTTGCTTTTTCTCTTGCATTGAGCCTTTAAGGAAGGCTGAAGATGCACTGCTATGTTTGTAGTGCCCTGTACTGTGAGAGTACTTCTGGGAACACAAATTCCGAAAATGTAGCAAACTGATACTGGAATAAAAGCAGATGCTGTTCTTATTTCAGTTATTTTTGAGCTGCCTTACAGATTTCTTGTAACCTACAGATTTTTTTCAGACATAATCCTGAGTTTCAGTTCTAAAAAAACTAATGGTCTCTTCAAAAGAGATTTCTGATTAAAAGTATTGCTTTAACGGAGACCTGGAGATAAATGTGTTGCTTCCACTAGGAAGCATATGAGGGTGTTGGCTCTTGCTGATGCTAATAGAAGTCTCTGTTGCTTGTTAGGTAATAGTGCATTGGAGTAATTGGAAAATGAGATTTTGAATAATTTTTAAAAACCTGATGTGTAAGCAACGTGCGTTCTATAGTTTAAGTGCATCATACAATGCAAATAACTTCTGCTGAAAAGAAGCTGTGGAATAATTGGAATATGCATTTGAAACAGTAGAATATGAAGGTTGCAACTTGTTATAAAAACTAACAGAAAAATCAGTTTACTAAAGAGGATGCGATTTAAACATCGGGTATAGCCTGTTACTTGTATGATAAATATTTTCCCCAATAATTTATTTTTATTTCAGGGGTTACGTTCCACCTAGGATTTTAATGTTGCTCTGTCTTCAAAATCATGGAGCAGTAAATGTATTTCTGAAGGACTGTTTAACTTAAATACATGTAGATTCCACCTAACATTCACCAGCCTGACTTAAGTGTCTTTGTGTTATTGTCCCTAATCCAGGTGTACCCTGCAGTTTGTGAACACGAGTGACTTTCTGTTTTATCTCTGCAGATGATGTGCTGCATACCTTGACTGGAGCCATGTCCTTGTTGCGACGATGTAGAGTGAACGCTGCTCTGACAATACAGCTCTTCTCCCAGCTGTTTCATTTTATCAACATGTGGCTTTTTAACAGATTAGTTACAGCCCCAGATTCAGGGTTATGTTCACATTACTGGGGAGCTATTGTTCGCCAACAGCTCGGCCACATTGAAGCCTGGGCAGAAAAACAAGGTTTAGAATTGGCTGCTGATTGCCACCTGAGCAGAATAGTACAGGTGAGTGTATTTGTGATTAGCACTTCTCACGTGTTCATATAGTCAAAGAGAATATTTGCCTATGCTGTGTTCCTAGAAAGTAGCACGTGGAAAAAAGTATAGCTTGTGTGGATCAATCCTGGAACACTGAGGTAGCATTGAGGTAAAGACACAAAACATGTTTTCAGTATCATTAATGTTGAAGTTACAAGTGAAATCAATAGTGAACATGGATGTTAAATTTCCATTTATTAAATAACTGAGCTGTAACCATACTGAACAGAGGCAGGAAAAGTAGCTGAAAATTTGATATGCTTAATTTATGACAAATTTACTATTAATTCATCTTTTGGTACAGAAGTATTTAGTGTTTGTTTGGGAGGCTATTTATATTGTTTCTGTTACAAATCTCCTTTTCTCTTGCTTTCTTGCTTTTTCTTTCCCTCTTATCTAAAGAACATTGAGACACAAGTTTTATTCTGGTTTGAATTTGTCATCTGGGACTTCTTTCTCCCCTCTAGGCAACCACATTGCTTACCATGGACAAATACTCACACGCAGATGTTCCAAATATTAACAGTACTTGCTTTAAGCTAAATTCTCTGCAGCTACAAGCTTTGTTGCAGAATTATCACTGTGCTCCAGATGAACCACTCATCCCAACAGTAAGTCTCTTGTATCACTCATTGTGCAGTTTAACATATCTGAGATAAAAAACCACCCACTGTGAATAGCTATCTTATCTTTGGTGGATGTACTTCCCTGACTCAAGCGGGGTGTTAACAAAAATCTCTTACACTGAGTTGGAAAGGAAGGTACCATGCCATGAAATGGAAATGTGTTGGGGGAATGGGAGGAAGGACTTGTAGCTTGGAGATAGTTTTATGTATTGGCTACCAAACTACAGAGTCTTTTGCTGAAGAACATAACCTATATTACCTGCTTATACATGGTAGAATTCTGTAGTTTCTTGGTTTATTATCATTATATTAAAAACATGCACCACAAGTTTGGAAAATACTGTAGTAAAAATAAGAGCTTCTGTGTCATTTGCTAGTACAATTATCTGTGGGATTTCATATAAGAAAGCAATGCACTGTACTGACTGTACATGGGAGAGGCAGTTTTATATCTGGTAATTTATTTTTCAAATTGATTTTCCTTGCAATCTTAACATCTTGTTAATGTAAGGTTTTTTAACTTAATGAATGAAATGATGTCTTTGTAGTAACAATGTCTTTCTGCTTTCTGTCCAGGAATTGATAGAGAATGTAGTAACTGTTGCAGAAAACACGGCTGATGAACTTGCTCGCAGTGATGGCCGAGAAGTCCAGCTGGAAGAGGATCCTGACTTACAGCTACCTTTTCTTTTACCAGAAGATGGCTATTCCTGTGATGTTGTCAGAAATGTTCCAAGTGGTTTACAAGAATTTTTAGATCCACTTTGTCAAAGAGGTTAATTCTTTTGTTGTTTTATAATGATCTGTGTAGCAAATACAGAATGCAAATATATTTTAATTAAATGTAAGCCACATTTTCCTTGTGTATGATTCAGTCTTTTTATACTATGTTCTTCAAATGTTTTCTTTTGTAAGCCATTAAAATTATTAAGGCTTTTTTAATCCTTACCCTTTCTCCCTGTCCCTTCCTTTCAGTTTCAAGGTTCTAAATAAGCAGTGCTGAGTTACTAGTGCCTGCTGAAACATTGTTTTGCCTTTGCTCCAAAACTTTTTTGTTTTTTAAAATTTACGTGAGTTGAATAGTTAAAATATTTTTCTTTTACTCATTAGCTGCTTCCATTAAAAAAATCCCATGAACTTAAAATAGTTCTTTCACTGTTGATCATGTAAGAACTTACGGTTTGAGCATTTGTAGTTCAACAGAATTTCAGATGACAAGTAGATGATAAATCTTGTGGTTGCATGAAACTGACTTAAACTTTGGAGAGTAAAGCAGGGCATCTGTCTGAGCATTTACAGTAAATGAACAAGTTATAATCTTTATTTGGTGCTACTCAATTTTATTAGAATTTCTTAATTTTCTGCTTAAAAGCAGTTGTTTAAAAAACTTGTACAGGAATGTCAAGGTAAACAGGAGGCTATTGAAAAACCAGACTCACTCTATACTACAGTGAACCTTTGCAATTGTTGCTTCCAATTTAGTTTATAGGAAAGCTATATTCTTGCATTAAAGAAAACTATGAAACTGACTGTTTTGAAAGTCCAGTGAGTAATGCAGGATGTAGTTTAGAGATTAAAGGAGATTAGTAGAATAAATTCTTTAATTAGTAAGTGTAATTCGGTTGCCATACAAGTAGCTGTATATTCCTTAAAAGTAAGGCTTTAATACATATGTTCAAAATTTTACTTTTTGGGTGTCCCCTAAATTATGCTGAGGGACTTTTTGGAGTGAAACAGTGTAAACTGAATTGCTGAAAAATGGTCTTTATGAGGAGGAGAATATCATGTATTTAGATGGAGTGGTTAATAATTTTTGTGTGATGTATGTTCTCTATGTCCCTGGTTTAGGAGATGATGTTGGATATTTCTGAACTGCTGTGGCTTCTTTTTCAAAATTCTAGGAATTTTTTAAATAACAGAAAGTAAATCAAACTAAATACGTGTTAATTGCAGTGCTGCATTTAAAACCATGATGAGTGCATGCAAAGCTTCTCCTCTGCTAAATCTATGCTGAGACTGGTTAGCTAGACCCCCTGCAAAGTACATTTCAGTAGCATGTTTTAATCAGAGTTCTGGTAGTTTATATTCTAAAAGATGATTCGATGTTTCATGTCTCTTATGAATTTGGTTGGTAAAAGTGATATTTTGCAGCCCCGAAGTTTTCTATGAGCTTGCAGTATTTTTAAATAAGTATGTTTCTCAGAAGCAACAGCTATAGAACTATAGGATTTTGTAGATAATAGCATGAAATTGCAGCAAAGCCCATAAAGGCATCTGAGATGTAAGATTTGACACATTAATGAGTATAAAAAAGGATGAATACTATTTTATTTTAATTAATCCCTTGAGAAAATTCCGTTATTATATTGGTGTTACCTTTTCTTTTAGGTTTTTGTAGATTAACACCTCATCCACGGTCACCAGGCACGTGGACAATATACTTTGAAGGTGCAGATTACGAAAGTCATTTGTCCCATGAGAATGCTGAGCTGGTAAGTATTGATTAAGGGAATAATTATCTACTACAATCTTGACAAGACATTGAGTTTTATGTGATCAGTTTTAGTCCTTGTTAGGAAGAATAGGCTTCATTGTTAAAACATGTAGTTCATCAGTGAATTGGTGCATTTAAGGAACTATTTTGGAGATTTTTTTAAGTCACTGTTTTTCTAGGCTGTAGCATGATTATGATTTTCACATAAGCAAACTTTGTCATATTCCCCCAGTCTGAGAATAAACAATGAAGAAATTTCTTCTAAACACAGGCAAAAATATATATGGACGTGGATCTATAAATAACTTAAGAATGGAACTGCAGGCTGCTTTTATTTATAAATTGGCAGTTACCAACCAAATATTCCATATTGAGTTCTAGTCTGGTGCTTTTTCCCGGAAAAAAAAAAAAAATCTTTAGTTTTCCTTTACATTAGACTTACAAAAAAGGGTCTCACTTCAATGCAAGGTAAGGATTTTTTTTCTGTTCTATTGTAACGGTTTCTTTGTTTTGCGGTGAGTTTTTTCTGCTTGTCTATTTTAATATTAAAGTTACAGAACAGCTTGGTTTTGGAAAGATGGTGGCTTTATGTGAAATAATTTTTAGAGCAACTAAACAGAAATAGTGTCATATTTTAAATTACTATTTTCAGGTTAAAAACTACTTGCATTTCTAATACTTGAACTCGATCAGAAAGTACTAATATTTTTTTAATTACTCTCCTTGGCTTACATTTTTACTTGTCATGGGCCTTGTGGAGCTTGCAGTTATGTTTCAGTATGAATACAAGCTAATGTGCTCCAATTGACATGCTACAGCTAATAAAGATTGTGAAGAAAACTTTTTGAGTTGAAGAACTGGCAGTGTTGAAAGATTTAAAAAAAGAAATTACTGAACATGTCTGGCGACTCCTGTATTCAAGAGTATTGAGAAGTGAAACTTTTTGGAGCTTTATTTCAAAGCTTTAACTCTGCTTTCAAAATTAATTGGCTTCTTAATAATTCTGCAAAGATAATACCATCTTCTAGATGCAGCACTAATAATTGAGCTCTCTGTGTAGATCACCCTCACCTTTGTAATAGGTGCCTATGGAGTCTGAACTTCAGTTTTCATTAAAAGTTACTACAATTTGATAGACCTGTTACATTTCAATTTGTGATTCATTAGTAATCTTTTTACTGGATTAAAGGAGAAACTAGTAGACCTCAAAGTTTCAACAGTGTAGTATAACACGGGTATAGTACTTGATAGGAATCCATCTTAATTAAATGTTAGATAATCTACCTGTAAAATAGATACCAGATACATTATTTTGGATGTGAAACCTGCTGCTCTAACAAACTAGTTTTGTTTGTAATGTACTATTTTGCTTAGTTACTTTCTTAGCCTGTTGTTACTTCGTTAGCTGGAAGTGAATGGGAACTTCTGAATTTTTTATTCTTTCCCCTTTGCTGTTTGATAGGCTCAGCCTTTGAGAAAAGAACCTGAAATTATCACTGTAACACTAAAAAAACAAAATGGAATGGGACTGAGCATCGTTGCTGCCAAGGTATGGAAGTCTGTTTAAATCTTATTGAAAAAAGCTTCTGTTTTTATTAGCCTGCTGTGGAAAATGTTGATGGAAAAGGTCTGTTTCTCTTAAGTTGGTTGTACACATTGTGTTGATCCTGCTTTTATTCTGATTAGGGAATGTTTCTGTAAAATACACAGATGTGGACAATACAAATGGAAAAATATTATGGATGTATTATTATGTATTATTATGATATTTCAATTCAAACCTCTGCTACAGGTTTATTCAGTTTTTTCAGAGCCAAAAATCAGCAGTGGTGTTAAACAGGATTAATAAACAGGTGTATTTAGGACTTCTGCTGAAAGTAAAGAAGTAAACACAAAGAATGTGTGTGGGTTAATTGATGAATAAGCAGAGCAATTAAATGTATACATTAAAGTTTGAATACTTTCTGCCATGAAGACAGCACCTGTTTTTTCACACAGTGTAGAGGTGCAAGAATGGCTTCAGTTTGTTTCTTTACAGTAGAGACCTACAGCATAATAGCCAAAATTGTGGGTGTATGCTGTAGCTAGTAGCACTACATAGTAACGTATGGAATGCACATACAGCTCCAGCCACCAGATGGAAGACTCCACTAGTTGGTTGGTTTTGCTTTATTAACTGAATCAAATAGCAGACATAATCTTTTAAGTTTAAAATTTGCTGTAAATTATGCAGCAGTGATACTCTAACATCAGTGTTGTGATTACATGGTGTACAATAGATGGAACAAGTCTTTCCTAATGTCTCTTCACTGTGTAGTACATGAAACTTCAGAATACTGTGATACTCCTTGGCACTCAGTGCATGAACTGAAAACATTATTAAGTTACCTCACATAGTTAATTGCTTCTAAACAGCACTGTTTGGCTTTTTTGGTTTTTTTACAACCTTCACTCATTTCATAGTCTGTTCTTGAAATTATAATCTTGTGTGGTGTCAGCTTTTAAGAATTGTTTTTCTCATGTGTAAAGGAATACGTGGTGTCAGGTGTATAGTGCTAAACAATCAGCAATTATTGAAGAAACAGTTCAGGATCTGAAAAATGTAATTCAATATTCTGCTCTGATTTTAGTGGAGTGGGTTAATAATTTGAGAAGCAAATACTTGATCTTGACACTGAATTAAATATGTATCAGACTTCTGACTGCCATCTGCACTTCTGTTAAATGTTTCAAAATGTGCCATGGGAGTATTTTTTTTCACTTTACTCTGTGAAATCTAATTTCTTATGTAGAGTGAAGAAGTATATTATAAGGGGAAAAATTTCCTTTCTCATTGGAGCTGGCTGGCTTCTAGATGTTGATTTAACAACTGACATTTAGCTTCCAATAGCAGTGTGTAACACTGCTACTGTAAGCTTGATCTGAAAGTTTTTTTCAAGTCATTTAATACATTTCTTGATTTCTTTGTCATGATCAATCATGGAAAGAAGAGTTTTCATTTTCATTTGCACAGCTGTAGAAAGACTAGTTCAGGAAGTCATATTTCATCTTACTGCTGTATGCTGCCCTAATACTGGAACTCTGATATGAAAACAGTTATGTTTTAAATCTTGGTCGGAAATAAGCAAGAAACAGATTGTTTTAGTTTTTTGGTGTATGTACAGTAGAAACTTCTGCTTAACATGAAGTCATCAGAATGTTCATTTCATAGAAGTGATCCTATGCTCTGTTTGAAATAATTTGCTGTAGTAGTTAAGTAGGATTGTTTTCAGGAGGTTCAAAGTTCCTTACTGTGAGTAATTATCAGCGTGTTTTTCCTGTAATAGGCTTCATTTAAAGAAAGAGTAAAGAAGAATACAAAGAATACAAGCGTTAATTTTCTCAATATGGTCTTAGAGAATTGAGTGCGTGTGACTGAAGAAGGATTGGTGCATTTTTTCTTTCTATTCCTTGTATTGTTGATATTTGCTACCATTTTTTTCTACATGTCTCCTGTAGTATATCTTTTAGCAGCATAAAAGTTAAAATTCTCAGTTTTAACTTCGAAAATGTAGGAAGAAGTCCAATAGACTATTTGTTAAAATTCTCTAAACATTAATTGGATGGAATACCTGAAATGAAAGAGAGAAACAAGTATGAGAATAGATTCAGATTTTTCTAAACTTTCTAATAGTAAAAGGTTGGCCATTAAGTGCTCATAAAGTTGAAGAAATGAAAGCTCATACTTTGAGAAATTCCTCGTTGCTGCTGCCCTGCACAGAAGCCCAGTTTGATGGCTGACCCAGTTGTGTTTATTGAACTATTGGTTTCTACAGTGTTTTGAAAGGGCTGTAGCAGTAGAAAATGCAGCTGGTCAACAGGCCCTGCTCCAACCAGTGAAGGACAACCTTGAATTTGTTTAGCTTTTGTTAGGAAAACAGATCTTTTCCTGTGATGTGACCAAATACTTGCTTTCAGTAACATGTTGTGAGAATATCTTTGCATGTCAGTGCTGACCTGCCTTTCTTGTTACATGTTACGGGGCTTCTCATACTTGTCACAGGTTTTGGATGAAGTTTGTTAACATGCAGCTTGATGATATTCTGGAGGTGGACAAAATGGGCAGATTCTCAGGGGATCATAAAGAAAAATAATACCAATGGACTGCTTTTCTTCCTTCTACTCATTGCAAAAAAATGTGTGCTTTCCTAGTAAATCTGTGTTCATCTCTGAGGAAACATCTAAAAAAATTGTAATCTAAAATATTTTTGAGTTTTTGTTAGTTTTCAGGTTTCATTAGCTTAAAGTCTGTGCCAATTAAGAGTTTCTAATGATGAAATTAGAAGTCATGCCTTACATAATACCTTTGCACCAAATGTTCCTAATTATCAAGTGGTTGTTACACCTTCTCTTGTGCAATTAAAATATAAGGATTGAAGTTGAAGCAAAGGCTGTACAAGCAGAGAAGGGATGGAACTTGCATTGAAATGCCGTGCACTTGCTTATTCTTATGATAGAAGTATCACCTTGGGATCCTAGGTGATTGCAAACATGCCTACATTAATGTAATTAAAACCAAAACAAAACCCGAAGAGGTGAGTCAAGGAGTATATGAAAGTGTTAGGTCCCTAGGGCACTCTGTATTAGATCCTCCTCCCACCTAGGAGGATAGGTAAAATGTTTAAGTACATTACGTCTTTCTAATCACAGTTACTCATATTTTATTTAATTAGAAGTTTTAAAGGAGTTCCAGAGAGAGCAGAAATTTAGTGCATCACCTAATTCACCTCACTTTGGTGCTATTTGAGACAGGACAGCCTCTCTGAGCAAACATGTAGTAAGTGCATATGCTATATGCAAACATAGCAGGGAAAACAAGTTTACTTATGAAACAGCTGTTAGCTTCCAGAGCAGTGTAAACCATGTTGTGCTTGTTTGGGTTTTGTTTTTTTTTTTTTTATAAATTGGGAAAATACCTAACAGCAATTCTTAAACTGAATGCTTTAAACAAATTTTTATTTTTATTTAAAATTAAACTGTATAGCTTCATATATGATCCAAAAGAATAACTTGTTGTTCTGCCCTTTGGTAGATATTGCAGGTTATCTTACAGTAATACTCTGTAGCTTTACTAGCAATAGCTTTTGTAATAGGTGTATGGAAATATAGTTGGTAGGAGTGGTCGGGCATAGGGAACAGGGAACAGTGTTGCATTTTGAGGTTGTGTGCAGACTTTGGTTGCTCTAACCCTGAAAGATGTTTTGATGTTAAAAGCTGCCAGACTCCCAACCACATTGTGGTTAAGTTTTTATGAAATCCAGATGATTTGGAAGCTGCGTGTGCATGCAGTTTATTTTAAAAATATATCACTTTTTTGGGGGCTTTCACATGTGACTTCTTAGCCATCTGTGGGCCAGCACATTACTTCCTGTTTAATTTGGAGGTTTTTTTGTCTTTAGTACAAAAGGGCTCCGTTTTTGTTTTTTCTAGCAGTTTTCAGAGTTTAATAAAGCCTCTAAAGTAAATGGAAGTCAGAGCATAACTGATTACGTAAGAGTCTGAATATTGTATTGGTTATAGCTGGTGTTGATAAATGCTACACTGTGTCATAGCATCAAGCTCGGAGTTATCTTGATGGGTATCTTGGAAAATCCAGCAGACTAGAGCTGGTGGTTGCTATTGAGGGCTGGAAGAGAAGTGGAGAATTGTTTTTTTTCTTTCAAGGATCTGTAGTCCCGGAGATCAAAATGTGGTTTTCTGTTGTTGGAAGAACAGAATCCATGGTAAGTCTGTTCAGGTTTCTGTTGGGACTGTTTTTCTCTGAAGTTTTACTATCCCTGTACTTTTTCCTGCTCTCTTGCCTGTTTAAACCTGCCAGTAGTTATTTGTTCATGTAGCAACTATGTAATACAGCATGCAGTTAAATATAGTCAGATGTTAGTAGCTAACTTCCTAAAATCTAGAAAGAAAAAACTAATTTTTTAGCTTGTTCTTCATACGTACTTCTGAAATGGTGGAAGTGACTATTAATATTTAAAGTTTCAGGTATGATAACTACTGTTTTACTGTGCCAGAGCATGAATAGCATGACCTGTGATCTGTTTACTTGTCATATTAGTTGGCTTTAATCCAGGTTCCTCTAAAAGTCTGTTTTCTTCTTATAAAATCTTAGTAGAATGATTAAAATCAATGTCCCAAACAGCGTAAGATTTTTAATACTCACTAGACCCTTCTGAAAAGACCAGAACATGCAAATTTGTTGCAGTTAGGGTGTCTTACTCAACACGTTTGCAGAGGAGAGGCATTTAAATTCTGTTTAGGTTACTACTGCACAAAAGAAAGGATTCCCATGTTCTGCAGGAACGATAGAGCAAGTTTTGTTGATTAATCTTTGCATGCTTGTTATACTCATAAGTGTACTGTGATTTAGTTCTCTGAAGTACGGCACACTTCTACTTCTTATCCGGTCATCTTTTAGCAGTATAAACTGAAAATGTTACGTTAAAATATATACAAGGACCTTAAAATAGATATGTATATGGCTCCACTGGCACATGAATCAGAGTGTAT